TCGTAATTGCGCTCGTAAATCAGTTTGAGCCGTTCGATATCGATAGTAATAATAATAATTTCAGCGTACACTTATAACGATAATATACACAACGCACTAATACGCGATATAATATCGTTTCATCGGTCCTCGCACAAATCCATTTGTGTGTGCGCGCGTTTGTAATATTGCCTATATTATTATGTTCACCGAACGTTTATAATACCTACTTATATAGTATTATAAATATCACCCGATATATTATTATAAGAGTAGGTTTAGTCGGTACACATTATGTTGAGTTAATAATGTGTAGGTAGGTATAGGTAATATTATGCGTACACGCGCGTCGCCGCTATTGCAACAGTGATGTTTTTATGCGAATGATAATCGCGAGGAGAGTGCGTTTTATTTGAGTTCCCGCGGAACACGTCGGAAAGAAAATGCACACGATTTTTTTTTTTTTATTTATTTATTCTGAACGAATGATTTACGACGTGTGAAGCGATTTCTTTTCTCTGTCGACAAACAAATTTTTTTTTTACTCTCAGAAATCTCACTCCCGATCAAAAACCGATCGGAGCATTGGTGCAAGTATAGAGAGATGGGGGTGCTAAAGACCACCTCTAGCTTGGGAACCCTCCTGCCGGGCAATGGAAGCTTTCGTGAGTGATAGGAACATCTCTCAGACATCCAGGACCTGCGTATTATGCGTATTTTTATTTCCCTAAAAAATGTAAAAAGGATAAGTGACTGGGAAACTTCGGGAAAAGTATCTTCGATACTTTGCACTTGGATGCAGCCACTGTTGTAGTTGGGAAGTTGGGAAGGTAGGGTACAAACAAGAATTTAATGTATATCTGTGAGCAACTTTAAACTCTTACTAACGAGAAAACGATTCTGAACGGAATTCAGTTGATATTAGTGATGTTTCGTCAACAATATATATGCCATTGAAGTATAACATTGAATACAACTCAGTAAACCGAGTAAACACATATTATCTGCGTTTCCATGACAACAATGATGGTTTGAACAAGATTATAATAATAAATACTTAATAATAACAAAAATAAATAAAAACAGTTGCCAATGACAAGTCGATAGCTATTACGATTTTTTTGACGCACGAAGCCTTTGACCTTCGAATATTTTTCTTATTTTTTCCTATCATTATTGGAAATGTCAGAGAACCCGGACGACAATAATATTATACATTAAGAATGGACCGGCCGTCTAGTAATACAATTACCTAAAATATCGACCTATCGACCTATGTTATCCGGTCAAATATTATGAATATGATTTTATCATCACATTTTATCAATCGCGTGATAATTTTTAAATAATTTAACAAAACGTACAAAAAACTGGACAAGTTACGAAAAATATTTATAGTGACTTGAAATATTGACAGATAGATTTTGTATTTGCCTTTTCTAGACGTGGTAAAATGTATAACATGTATAACCTGCGATTTTCGAGTTATTTTTAGTCATTTGACATTTTAGAGTTTTTTTCGTTTATATTTGATAGTATATAGTTAAAATTATTTTTCCAACTATACATGCTTGACAATTTATTATAAATTTCATTATATTGTAAATTCTAATTAGCGATTGAACGTTATGAATTAGTTTTTTTTATAGCAGTTTTAGGATCATAGGATCAAATTTTGACGAAAACTGTCAAAAATACATAATTTTAAAAGATTATACCTCTACTATTTATTTATATCGGGATTTACGAATTGACCATTTCTACAGTCAATGTTTCATATTTATGACATAATTTTGTTTAAAATTTAAATTTTCGTCATAGGAAGACTCTCGAGAAACACCACAAGAATATGCCCAAATTTAAAAGTCAATAGTTGAAATTTCAAAAGAGCGAAGGGATATGACGTAATAAATGCTGTTTTTAGAGCCCTCTGGAGTATTTTGTCTATGGCCTCACAAAACCTACTTTCACCGGCTTTGAACGTCGTGCAGGGTTTTTGAAATCTGTACGCATTTTCAATCCAATGCTTGATAAAATACGTACCAGTGGCGGATTTAGTTCGTCTTCTAGAGGAAGCCAATAACTTTTTGGTCCGAAAATTATACTCTTAACTAACATGACCAGACCTCAGTCAGTCAATGCGACTCCTAACCGCTTAATGTGATAGCACAACTATCTGTAGAGGCCGTGATTATAATTTATTAACACTCTGAACTTCATTCAGATTTTCGAAAGAAATTATCATTTATAGTTAATTTGATGTCCAAGGGGGGGGCATGGCTCCTATGACCGCCCCATAAACGCTACGCCTGATACGTACTGTAGGTACGATATTTTTCGAGTAAGCGCGGCATTTCATCTCTGTCTTTCTGAATAGCAATTATAGCCAAGTTAAAAATACTAAATAATAGGTATATAATCGACAAACTATCGGATCGGCGCCAAACGTATCATAATAATGTCGTAATATTATTTTACGACAGTATCTTTATTCTCGTCGACAGAAATAGATTGCGGTGTGTAGTTTTTAATAAAATCAAATTACATTTTGGGAATTTCTAAATGGCATAGATTACTTGAGATATTTGTTTATTTTTAGTGCAATACGTGTGTAATACGCGTTTGGCGTTTAGACAGCAAAATAAAAGGAAAAATTTACTAAGACAAAAATTTTGAGAAAAAAAAAATCGATACTGGGTTACACATATTACATGGTATTGTGAAACGCGATAGTAAAACGATTTACCCGTATTAATGATTTTAAAAATAGGATATAACGTTATCGATACCGAAATATGCATAGATTATGGTATACGTAGATGTTATAGGTTAGGTTTCTGTGGACGTATGGGTATATGCATATGGGTATAATTTATATAGGTATTAACGCGGTCGGTTGAATTATGATTCGTCGGCTGTAATAAAACACACTGAAAACTAACTATACGACGATCCGCGGTCGGAGAGACCGTTCCCCAGGAGTAAAAGTAAAAATGATAATCGAAAGAAAACGTATTGTATAAAAAATATATTTAAAAAAAAAAAATCAGTCTCGCTGCCGGCAGCCCGTCGTGCGGCGTGAATATACGAGTATTTTTTATTTACACCTCGTAATGATAATTCATCCGTGTATTTGTACAAGGCGTATTTTTCTTTTCTTTTTGAATTATCTATGTTGTAATATAATACACACACGAATACAAAAATGTCGAGTGTATACATTCGATTACAGAATCGTTTAATCGCCATAATATAGTATACTATACCTAATTTTAGTTCTGAGCGGAACGAGGAACGATTTGTTGGTTTTAGGTACAATTATAAGTAAAAAAAAAAATACATCCGTTGTTTTTATTCGCCCGTCCGTCCATTCGACACAATTCCTTGAGCCCTGATTTGGGGTCCTTAAATGCCACGCACTCACGGCTCATCGCCTGCCATGCCACCCTGTCAGTGCGCAACTGATACCGCTGAAGGTAAATTAATGAAATCGGTATCATACAAGCATGTCGCCTGTCGTGTCGTGCGATTTTACAAATGGACGTAGCCATGATCGCGGTTACATATTATTATAATCTGTGAAAACGGATTAATTCTATACACGTGACACACGGTACGAAAGTTTCGGATTCTGGATCGTCATGCAGCATCAGGTCATACCGAACGGACGACACGAACGGCACGCACCCTTGATATCGGCTTAAATGGCAAGTATACGGTGACATTCAAAAGCCTCTGTCTGTCTAACGGGAGCGTAACGGGCGTAGACGTAGGATTTGTTCGCGGAGTGCGCCGTGAAGAAAACGTGTCGTTTTTCCTCAAGCAGACTATATATCCCGTCTAAAAAAAAAAAAATCAATGCTGATCTCCTCAATTGCTGATTTCTTCTCACAGTCTGTCCCACACCGTCCTATTACTATATGATCTTTATTATTAAAATCGTAAAACAATAATGGCCTTTTTTCTATTAAATTTGATAATAAGTCACAAGCCATTGTAATAATACATAATAACAACAATGATTAATAATACTTAAAATGGAATATTGCCATAGCTATATGGTGTGTCCCAACCGTGTTTCACGGATTTTTCCAGCGTTGTTTATATATTACATTTTTTTAGATTTTTTTTTCAGTCTGTTTGACTTTGAGGGGAACATCGATTTAGAGAAAAATTAAATTTTTATTTTCATACCCTAAACATAAAACAAAAATAACTTTTTATTTATTCACTTTAGAAAATTAAAATATTATTGAAGTATTATCATTATAATATCATTCGTGTGTGCGTGTGTCCGTGTTACATCGTATTTCCGTTTCAATGCTTTCAACATTTCAAGTGAAGTTCAACACGTGGCACGTATCCTGTATAGGTATGGTGACCAGATAAAAATATCCAAAAAGAGTACATTTTAAAATTTAGGTCCTCCATAATAAAAAAACCCCTCTCTTGAAAGAATTGGCCAATGTTTATAATATTTCACCCATTTTGCCCACAACTCATCTCCATCTATATAAATTTTGTTTTATCTGATTACTCTATTATTATTTTTTCTATTATCAACTATAAAAATTAGTTAAAACTATAATAACTGGTGATTATGTTTTTTTGTCGTCCAGCTATCGCTACCGTTGTCAGTCACTTTTTTTTTTCAATTAACCGACCGTAGTGGGATATCAGTTTTCACATTGCTACCCCACTAATGCCATCGTTTATTAATAAGTATAATTAAGTAACGTTTTGTGAAATTCTGTTTTCTCCTTCATGGGTCAGGCTCACATTATTGACTATGCTAATTAAAACTATGGTGAATGGTGAGCGGTAGGACAGCGTCACCTCCTAACATTATGTTAACTTAAAATAAAATAAATTAACTTAACCTGTACTTGACCTTGATCCAGTGGCTGGGTCTTGTTGTGTGCAGTCTATGGGGTACAGGACTGATGAGGCGACTGTTCTTATAGCAGCTGGTCGGCCTTTGTTTCAGCCTCTCTTATCCTCTCGTCTTGCTCTTTGCGGCCCTATATGTCCTCTATCATGCTGTAGAAGGACTGTGAGCCACAAAATGTGGCCTTGATCTGATCGTGTGAAGCCCAGTCAGAGTCCTGAAATGAGAAGTGTTCCAGGCCGCAGAGCATATTTTGAACATCGCTAGGAGCTATGTTTCTTCCAAAAACATCCAACATACGCTCTGACGTCTTGCCGGTAGAGTTCCCAGTGAGGGCATACGAAGATCGTGTGCTCAACGGTGTCTTCTGGTGGTCGGCAGTATAAGCACTCCGCGTCCGTTGTCAGTCACTTGCAGATGATTGGAATGCATTAGATCGAACTATAAAATATAAAAATATAAATGAATAATCAGATTATACAAAATCATAAACGTGTATTAGCTCATAATATTTTTAAAAAAAATAGTACAATTTCATGTACTTAAGACTATTGACTATTGTTAAGGACATAGGACAATGAATTATAAAAGAGTACTGTCCTGCGAAAAAGAGTACGTCTGGTCACCATATATATATAGGTAATATTAGTTCATAAAATAAGGTTTTACTGATTACTGAATTCCATTTTAATTTTGACACAGCAATAGTTAAAAGCGGTCAGTGGTCAGTCATTAGTACTCAGGTTAGTAAAAACAAAATTGACAATAGGTACTATAGTGTACGGCTTAGATTAGACGATTAGACGGCATGTAGTCTATAGTTTATGTTAGAAAAATTTGTGAATAGTATTTGATATTAATAGAGACCGGAATTATATGCATACATTTGTCAATGAATGGGGGCAAAATAATTTTAAATTTTTAGTTTCACTATCCAATTATCGATAATGAAGAAGTATGGTTTGTGATTTTGTTTTCATCAATATAGCCAGGTAATGTAAAAATGATTTATAAAATATTTAGATAGTTGTATAAAACTTTATCTTACAAATGGCAGCATTATTTTAACTATAATTCGTTGTTATGTAACTTTAAATTTCAAAAAGTTGTCCTATAATAATGGGGACGGGTGCAGCCACTGTTATAAGTAATTCAATGTATAACGATAAACCGTTGCTAACGAAAAAACAATTCTGAGCGGAGTTCAGTAAATAGTGATGCTTTGCCAACAATATATAATATGCCATATTATGGTAAAATAATTAAATATGCATTATATATATTCTTTAACAATATTTGTTTAATGTACCGATTTTCCCGTTTTTGTCATTTATTGACAAAACTCTTGAGAAAATCGAAAAATGACTTCTCTAAAGTACCTCCCCACTTCCCAGTTAGATTTCCTTTAAAAAAAGTGCTGTCATTGTAAATTGGAGCAAAATTGCTAGTAGAAAAGTAGTCCATAGAAAAAAAAATTGTAATATTTAACTAATATATTTCATACGTTTTCCAGTTTTTCAACGGTTTTTTCGGTGTTTCACATTTTATGAGATTAAAAAGATGGTTGATTTTGATTCAAGTTATTGATAACTTTTCAGCGATCAAAGCCAGAAAAATAAAGTTTTAAACATTAAAATTAGCCTTTTGTTTTTTGGAAAATGTTGAATGTAGATATTTGAATACATTGGTACATTTAAACTATAAGTATTAATTATTATCTTACAATTTTCTGTTTCTAGTCATATTTTTGTTTAAAACAGAGAAGGCAGTAGGCTTCTGTCTTCATTTGGTTGTCCGTGGCTTATCGATCATTTCCTGAAAACATAATTAGGCACATTAAATAATAGGTACGTTTGCAGGTTATGATAATGTTTTTTGTGAGACAACAAGTATAGTCTCACTTAGTTAAATCTATGAATCGGATATTAATTATATTAATTATTCTGACAAATTGTATAAGTATAAAATAATACATTAACAGTGCATGTTTTTTTTTTTTTTTTAAACATACCTGAATCATATAGAATACCTTCGCGGTAAATCTATTTTTAATTTTTTTAATGCAGATTGGGCGAAGTTTACATATTTAATATCATCATTTTCTAAATAAATTATTCTAGCTCCCGGCTTCCAATCGTCCGGTAAATTACTAAAAAAAAAAAAAAACCACATTATTCAATCTAACTTATAAGTGTAATTATTTATACTAAAACCTAAGAAAAACACTTAGAGTATTATTTCTTGGGCTAAAAGCCCACCAAAAAGTTCTCCAAAAATCGCCAATTTTGGATCGCCATTACTATGCCACCAATCCAACTGATCAAACAAATGGCAATAAATACATTTGCTGCGAAATGTTAAAACAATTAAATTTTTTTAAATTATATAACTATGGTCTCATTGTAACAAACATTTTTTTTTTTTTTATGATAAATTGTTAAATATTGGTCAATAATAGTAAAAATAAAAATAATTGTAACAAGATGAAAAAAAAAATGCATGCAACGAATATCGATAGTATTATTACCCCTCCTAAATTCAAATCAAATAAAATAAATTGAAAATAGTTCAAAGCTTTTTCGACGGGTTGCGCCCTTCTGGTTATCAAATTGACTATACGAATTATGCTTCTCATGCAGGCTTGTTCTACATCAAATCAACAATAATTTATTAGGAGTTCGGTGGGTATTTGTCAGAGTTTTTGTAGGAACAAAAGTCTATCCAAGAATGTAAATTTACCGATTACCCAGATGGTAGCTCTTGGTTGTGGAGACCAAACGTAAAGGGAGAACGACGGCAGAACGAGATCGGCCGTCGAAGAACCTGAAATTTGACCTGACATTTGAAAATATATACGTTTTTTATTATTATATTATAAATTAAATCTGGTTTTTTATCTCGTGTGATATCGAGGGAAATTAAAAAAAAATAATATAAATTTTCGTATTTTATAACGTATATATTTTAATAACGCTATATTTTTTCGGGGTAATAATACTACGTTCTCCATTAGGGAAATCACGGCGGTAAACATCGTGTTAATCGCGCTGATATCCATCGTGTCGATCGCATTGTCGGGAGACGTACGAAATACGTGCAGGAAAATCAAAATGCTAAAAAAAAAAAAACAACAAAAACAAAAACTATACCATTATACAAGTAGGTATATTGAACTTTACATTTGATATTCTCGATTAATATTATTCTTACCTGTTTGGTTCGGATCGCACATTAATGTTATTTACTCGGTTGCCGGGACCTCGTTAACTTTCCCGGCGACCGTATCCACGAAGCAACAGTTGATTTGTTTGCGTGTCTAATTCGCCAACGGTATTTCCGACGGAATTATTTCAAACTAGCGTTAACATCCGAGTTGTTTTTGTAAGAACGGCCGTCACTACGGCGACGGGCGTAATAAATATTTCACGCCGTCGTTTCGACGAACGAACACAATCCCGTCACGCGGATTTTTTTTTAAAACGATAGAGTTTATCGCGAAGAAGCTACAAAGCCTTTTCCCGATTTTATATGTTAAATTAACAATCGAGTTATTCGTTTTTAAAATAATCGGAAAATACGCACATAAAGGTATAAAGGTACTATTTGTTTATTGTTACGGGTCACCTTACACGGATGAAATAAAAAACAATTTGAAAAGTTGATAACACGGATAAAAAAAAAAAAAAAAATCTAAGCACCGTACTGGGTGGGTATTTACGGCCAAAACGTATTTATGGTCAAAATGCATCAATTGTATCTCTTTCTTTTTTTTTCGGGCCTTTGACATCGTTTGTCGGCTCTTACTTCCACTCGATTGTGTTGTGGTTGATTGTGATTGAGTTGACAGATTTTTTTTCTTTTTTTTTTTTATCGGTCGTATATTGCCGGCGAAGAAGAAATCAAACTTCCTGGTCCTCCCGCAAATAGTGCCAACAGGAGGCGCTTATCTAGGAACAATCATTCGCAAACGCCATGATCAAAATAAGGTAAATCGAAATATTAATATTTACGACAGTGTCAATTACATTGACGACAACAGCCATAACGCTAATAACAGTAATAACAAAGGGGATAAAAGGGGTAAAACAGGGTAATGAAAAATGGAAAAAGTTATTTTTAACGTGTATTATGTGTGTAGAGCGCGTCGCCGGGCGACGTAAAAAATTTCCGTGGGCGTATTTAATCAAATAAACGCACAAAAAATAAAAATAATATTATTTGTTTTTTGTTATCAATGTGCAGTGCCGTCGAATTGGTTTAAAAATGCTCGGACAAAACGCCCGATTGTCATGTTTTATAACATATGATACGTATCTAAATTATATTACATAATTCATAGTATCTAGTAAATGTTAGAGTTCTATAATTCCTACAAATGTCAAATACTATTCAAACTATATGTGTATTTCTGAACACCGGCACAACCGGCCACCAAAAAAAAAAAAAAAAATTTGGTCGGGCACCCGCGTATGCGACGTAATTCGCTACATTGTGTTTTGTTTTTAACAAAACCGTGTTGGGCTCACTGGCGGATTCGGGATCCGGAGAGCCTATTACAGTATTCACGGGCGCACGCACGCGACATCATGTGATAATAATATTATGTACGGTATGGACGTAGATAACCGGTAACCGCGGTGGCGTCACGATTACCGCGGTCCGGAGGCTTCCGTTCGTCCGGTCACGTTGTGTTTTACGCGAGAAAAAAAAAAAAAAAAACCATTATACACAGCAGTAGCGCGACGGATTTTGTCTCGCGACGTGCCCGACGCACGCCGGCGTTTCGTGTATGGAAACCGGGTGACGGACGGCCGCGTAAATCGTACGGACGTACGGCCGAAGCGGCGGCGGCGGCCCGCAGCGCCGCTCGCTCTCCGGCCGGGCGTTCTCGGCCGTCGGTACCCGGGGGCTCCCCGTCGCGCGCGACCGCTCGCCGTAACGCGCCCGCTGCGCGAGCCTGACGCACCGTTCGTCCGTCTCTCCCATTACTCTCTCTCTCTCTCACTCACTCCCTCTCTCTCTATTTCACTCTCTCTCTCTCTCTCTCTCACACTGTCTCTCTCGGCCCGTCCGAAGTCGCGCGCGTCACCGTAACGCAGTCGTACAATAATACAATTATCAGTAGGCCTCGGATTTTATAGCGCGTACGCTTCTTTTTTAGATTCCGAGTGAGTCGAGGAATGTATTGGTTTTACAAAGATGTTTATTATTATTATTTTTTTTTTTTTTACCCGGTTCTTTAGGTTGAAAAAGATTAAAAGATTAAATATAAGGTTGTCATTGGCAACCGTTTTTTTTATTTATTTATTGTTATCATTAAGTTTTTATTATTTTCAAATCTTTTTCAAACAATCATTGTTGTCATGGAAACGCACATTGTTGTAATCATTTTACCATAGTATGACATGATATAGTTAACAAAGCAACAAAGTATAAACTGAATACAGCTCAGAATCGATTTTTCGTTAGCAATGGTTTGTCGTTGCTTACAGATATGCATTAAATTCCCGTCTGCATCTTAACTTCCCAACTTCCCACCTACAAAAGTGGCCGCACCCACGTGCGAATTATGTCCGTCCTTTTTTGTTTTTTTTTTTTTTATCTATGAGATGGATAACTAATTTGTAAATTCGTTTCGTGTCGTTCCGACTCCAAACAAACCAATTTGTTTTTGCTTTTTTTTTTTCTGATTTTTTTATCGCTATTTCGTGAATATTTCAGCTTTCACGTTTCAATTTGTTTTTTATGCAAAATATTTTCAATATTTATAGTAATAAAAACAAATTTTTAATTTCATTAATATTAAATGCAAAACCCCGAATTACGGACTGAACGGTTATTTGATTATTATCGTTTTCGTTTATCGGTTTTGTTCATTATAAAATGTACGAAACTTAATGTTATCGCCGATAGCTGTACATCGATACAGCCAGTTCGTTTTCGACGTATGAACATTTTGTCTAACAATAGAGCCAATATAGTTTCACAACTGAAAATCTTATAAAATCCACGGTAGTTAATTCTTTTTCTAATTTAAATTCATTTTTGAGTTTTTTTTTTTTTATTCAATTTTTTTAGTAAAATATTGGTCACGTTTTTTTTTTTTTTTGCTTTTTTTATAAAAAATAAATATGCTATTGTTTTTTGCTTTTTCAAACAAATTTTTGCTTTTGTGTTATTATTAATTGTGCTTTAAAATCCGAGTCCTAATTATTAGATATTGTTGTGTCGACGAAATAATATCGTCGACCGTTGACGGCGACCGATCTTTGGTCAGAGGTTGACCCCCCCTCCCCCTCCAGTGGCCGGCTTTTTTTTAGGCTTTTAAATCACCGATTCTCGGGTAAAACGTTACACGCAATTTTTCGGCGGTTGAATGTCGCGAACGCGACGATATTATTGTTTTTTAGCGGTCGGAATTATTTTGTTTTACGATAATTATTTATACCATTATAATATTGTCTAACATTCTTTATGCCTACCCGTATCGAAAAACGTACGCGACGGGCGGTGGTGACTATCGTAATACTATAAATATATATATTTTTTTTTCCGTTGCTTTGCGTTTTCGTGATATAAAATATGCGTTGCGCCTGAACGTGGTTTTAAAAAAAATTTCGAAATAGGCGTTGTCGGTCGGCGTATCTGCGACGGCGTGACATTATTAAAGTCGCTATAGTAGCGCGCGAGATAGGGGGAGAACAGGGAGATCGTATTACCCTCCCCTCCCCCTCAACCAATTGGCATTTTTAATACGACAACTATGTAGTCTGTTAGCCATTCGATGTTGAAACGTACAAGTATATAGTAATAAGTAAACAAAGAAACTTCTGAATAACGGACACTCTCGGTTACCGAAATTTCACCCGCTGTTCGGAGGTGGTACGTTTTCGAAATTCGTAACTTGTACTTGAAAAGGAAAGCTCGTTTTATCCGATTAAAACTCGGTTTTCGTTGAACCGACTGTATTGAACGACTGCATCTGAGTACAGTCCTAGATGTAAAATTTGAATTTAAGGATAACACTAGTTCCGTCCCGGGTTTTTTAAAACGGATTTACTGATTCCGTGCCATGTAATTTATTTAGTTATACGAAAAGGGACGAACCGTTTTTGCATTTTCTACACTATATTAATGTAGCATATAATTTACGACTACAATAACGATTATATATTACTTGGAAATTAATATTATGTTAATAATAATTGCTTTCAGTTATCGCAATGAATAATCAAATTTAAAAAAAACTATATGTAACTTTTAAACTTCCCAGTGATTATTCGTACGTCTCCGTGTCTGGATTTTTTATTTTATGTTGTGCTTACACAGTAAATTTACCCAGGACGAAATCGGTATTTACTTTTTTCCACCCGGGACGGAATAGGTATGAAAAAAGGTTATTGGGACGGAACTCAGATGCAGTCTATTGCGGAGTCGGTAAATTGCTTCCCCAAAAAAAGGTCATAGTCATATACTATGTAAATTGCGGCCCATGTACTTTTAAAACATACGTAAATTGCGTCCCGGGTATATTTGAAGTGTACGTAAATTGCGTCCCGGGTATATTTGGAATATACGTAAACTCCGATTTAAAATAAATTAAATTCCGATTTCCGTTCGGTTGTACAATTTGGAGATAAGTATTANTACGTTGCTCTATAGTTTAATACAGTTAAATTTAATTTAATAAAAATGGACGTTATGAAAAGCGAAAAAAATAAAACTTTGAAAGTAGTTGATGGTTTCAAATTTCGTTTCCATAAAATGCTGAAAAATGATATTCAACGTTGGTGTTGCACTGTTAAAACGTGTAAGTGTTTTTTGAAATTTAATAATAATAATTTGTGTATAGATAGTTTTAAAAATCACAATCATTTTAAAATTTCGGAACAAATAATAAATCGACAGAAACTTAACAACAATTTAAAAAGAAAAGCCGTTGACGATATGTTTACCAGACCACCTAAAATTATTCATTCATTCATTCATTCATTGAATTAAAAAATGCTGATGTCGAATCTTTAACTATTCAAGACGTTAGGTTGATTAAACGAAATTTACACAATGCTCGAGCTTCTATCCTACCAAAATTACCAACCACTTTTTTGGAATTACTTATAAAATTGGCCGCAATTTACATATGTACAAAATACACTCGGGCCGCAATTTACGTATGTACTAAATACACACGGGCCGCAATTTACATATGTACAAAATACACTCGGGCCGCAATTTACGTATGTACAAAATACACTCGGGCCGCAATTTTCGTATGTACAAAATACACTCGGGCCGCAATTTACGTATGTACAAAATATGTCCGGACCGCAATTTACATACAAAATTACAAATGGGACGCAATTTACAGCGACCCGTCTATTGAACTCCTCGTCGAGTAAGGCGACCAAGAAGATCCTAATAAAGTCTGTGGACGGTTAATATTTGCTACGACCCCTCCCGTTGAGATTTCTCGGACACGCCATTGTTAATAACTGGTTATAATGGTGAGCGCGGCTCGTTCGACAACATATTTGAAAAAAAAAAAAACGGACAGACATACTTCGCACCACGGGTGGGCCACTGTTGAAGGCGAGAAGTCGGGAAGGTACGATACAGGGGGGAATTTAATTTATATCTGTACACGACGATTTATCATTGTAATAAAAAAACGATTCTGAGCGGAGTTCGGTCGATGGTATTGATTTTTTGACGATGAGCGTTTTCGCGACGACAACGATTGTTTAAATACGATTAAAATATTATTGAAATAACAAAAACTTAATGATAACGAAAAATAAATAAAATCGGTTGCCAATGACAATAACCTTATTATTAATATTTTAATGTTTTTCAACCAAAGGAACCATTTTTTCCTCATCATCTCGAATACTGATGAGAATTTTAAACAAAAATTATATTTTCAAAGTACCAACTAGAAGCAATATGCAACAAAAAAGAGAGGATTTCTGGGAGAAATTGTGTACACAGTATATAAATATAAAAAAAAAATAAACATCATTTTATAAAACCAGTACATTCCTCACGAAATTCAGAATCTAAAGTAATAATAATATAGAGTATCTATAGAGAGCCGCCTCTGACACGCGAGTTATTATTATAATTTATGACACATTAAAAAAAAAAAAAAAACGGGAAACGAAATAAAACGCTTTTATCAAAAGTCAAATGTTTTCAACCGAATAATCCGACCGGGGCCTTATATTAATTTATACTGTCGACAATTATATCGCACGGATTTTTCATTATTTAAATTATAAAAATTCTCATTTTTTTTTTTTTTCTAGGCGATATTTAAAAAAATGTAATTGTTGTAAACGGTACGGCTAGGAAATTCGGCAGTATGAAATGTGGTCGATTTTTACGTGTCGTTTCGATAGAAAAAATAATAACAAAAACCGTGGTTCGTAACGTATACCGAACACAAAACATACGATTCTTCCGAATGGCTACGAAGTATTCGAGATGATAAGTGTTATTCGAAATAAATGTCCAATTATGCATCATCGTACAATCATAAAACGTTCCGAACTCGTATATACGTATACAGTCTGCCGGCGCGTAGCAAGGGCGACGTGTCCATAGGGGTCTTAACCCCCCCCCCAAACGAAATTTAAGCTTCTTTCAAAAAAAAATATAATTGCCGGTACGATTATATTAGTAGTCGGCGATAAATTTTATGTTTGGACCCCCCGCCAAAAATAAATAAAAAATAATTCTGGTCGCGCGCCCGGTAGTTTGTGGTTAAATTCCACGCCTTACATAGCGGTGGTGTCAAATATATTAATTCATCGCGGGGGGGGGGCGTTTTATATAATTATTTTTTTTTTATAAACATTATTCAACAATTGTTTAGTAATTAATACTTTTTTTCAAAAATTGCCGTACGCGTTAACATTGTAAACGGAAAAAATGCAGGTGGCGGGGGGAGGGGGAGTGGATACATCGTCCCCCTCCCCTTCGACCGTCCCCCGGCCGTAAGTATAATATAATATTAATTAAAGTACAAACGAAAAACAACGCGATTTCAATAAGAGAAAATTAATATCGATTTCTATTTCGTTTTTTTTTTTCTTTGTACACATATAATGGTAAATAATAATAATAATAATAATAAAATATTATATATCAAAAAAAAAAAAAAAACTAATTAAATAAACAACGAAAATCCATAACTATAATAATATAATATAGACATATTTTAAATGTTTTTGTTTTTTTTTGTTTTTGAAAAAATAATAAAACCGAATATATATATATATATTATAATATTATTTACAATTTTTTTTTTTTTTTTTATAATAAATAATAACATACATGTTCGTTTCGTTTAATCCGATACATAAAATATATAACACGCGACGTTATATTACTATTGCGTATTATTTACATCACAAAAATTCATTACGTTGACGCGCGCATACGTGTACATATTTTACATTCCAAGGGAGGGTGACAGGGGAATAGGGGATGGGTCTAATATTATATTTTATATCGGAACACAAACGTAATACGTATATAATAATATAATATATAATAATAATAATAATAATAATAATTGTTCAACAAATACACAACATATCGATATATTATGTATGTGTATACGATTTATAGTAATAGTAATAATATAATATGTAATTATGATAATAATAATAATAATAATAATAATAATAATAATAATAGTACGTTAGCAAATAATCTACATAATAATAATGTATAATTGTAATATTTTTTTTTTTTTTTTTATATACACAATATGATACAGGGTAATCGATCCTCCCCCCTTCCCCCGATAAGACACTATCATCGTTACCACTCGGAGACAATGAGCGCCTCGTCGAGGATTGTTCGCTTTGCATACACACATATATATGTATATATAAATATATTAAAGAGAAGAATGTTAGAACGGTTACAGGCGAGTGAAAAAAAATAAATAAAAAAAAAATAATGATTCCATAATTTTTCCGCTTAGTATTAGAAAGACAAAAAAAAAAAAAAAAAAAAAAACGGACGACGGCAGCGAGACGCGGAGTGACGGTGCGCGCGACGAAGTTCGGTTTTTCATCAGCGGCGATCAAACATTTCGGTCGTTTACAGCGTCCGTGCCCGAAACGTGACAGTGACGTCGTCCGTACGTTCTGTATGGAAGAGAAAAAACACACAAATTATAAATTAAGTAAATCGGTCGGGAAACAAAGAAAACAATTACACTGTATTATAGGAGGGCCTTCAGCCAATGTTCGGCGTTTTTTTTTATTCACACACCGTTTTTATTCCCACTCTTTATTTTTCTGTCTAAATGACACGTCGTGCGTGTAAATACATAATTTTCTAACACACGCCCCATACCGAAATATCTCAAGAGCAAACTACGATTCACTTTTAGTTTGGCAAAAAGACGTTGCGCGACTTGATCATCTGGTAGGCGATTTCTAGAAAGCTGCTCTTATTCAAGAAACCTCGTCGAGGAAAAATGTATACACAGAGTATTTTGCCATTTGCCCACGATAAAGAGATATTGGCGGACGCGTCTTGTCGTTAAAACGTAACTTTCACAAAACCGGGAACCCCTCGCCGATCCCCGCGAAATAACGATTCCGCAATGGAAAAAAATTATAACAATAATAATAATAATAATAATAAAAAAAACAGTGCCTATATATAATCGAATTCGTCTGAAAATCCTCCGCGACGATCGCCGCCGGTTCGCGCGGATCATGGAAAACTCGCCGGAGAATATGCAACGCAACTAGAATTTCGATACGACCCGAAGTTTCCCCCCCCCACCGCCCCCGCGATTCATACGCTGTTGTACCGTGTTGAAAATTTGTTTAAAACAAAATGACAATAACAATAATACTGTAATAAGACGGGCGTACGCGAACGATACAAATATTATATAAAACCGCGACGCGAGAAACCGACAGCCGGTATCGAAACAAAACGACGACGGCGAACAAACAATATAGTGGAGAAAGAGTTGCGAGAGTGTTTGTTTGTTTTTTTGTTTCGTTTCGTTTTTTTTTTTTTTTGTTTTTGTTTTATCAGTCCCGTCGCCGAGAAACTTTCCGTCCGAAGAGTTTTAACAGCTGCACACCTCGAACAGGTCACACGGACCTTTCACTGGCGCGGTGCAGTGCCAGTGCGCCGGTGCAAGTGTATACATTCGAACCGAACAAACACATAATAATTATTTATGTACGCGTCGCAATGTGAGCCGGGCCTCCGCGAAGACGAAAGTTTTGTGGCGGAGTCCGAGCGAGTTCGGTTCTACGCTCTCGTGACGGCGTGGGCCGCGCGCAAAACTGCGGGTAAAAGTTATTGACAATTTCGCGCTTTTTAAGAACGGCGTGTGCCCCTCCCCGCCTCTTAGACTTTCGCACCACCCCGCGTCGAAGAGCCGAACGTCCGTTGCGGTTTTGTCCCGCGATCGGACGACGTTTCAATAATATTCATGTGTCGGAGACTGGAAACGAGTGTAAAACTATAACAGCACGGCGAGAGAACAAAACGTTCTCGTTTCGAGTCGTTTTTTCCCCCGGTTGTTGAAAAAAATAAATAAAATAAATAGACATCGTTGTAAAACGGAAACCGCCGACGAAAACAAATGTCGAAAAACCCGTACTCGTTCGCGTCGTCTAGTCGACGACGTTCACGCGATTACCTACGTCCGCAATCGACGCCGGACCACGTTCGAAACCGTATTGTCGTTTCGTTCTGTTTCTATTTTCGTCTCCGGGCGAAAAAACGTCCGAAAGAAAAAGCGGACCCGTTCCGCAGTCGGCGAATCGCGTACGTCTTTCTGCTTCTTTATTTTTTCGTACGGCCGTCTCGGGGGGGGGGGGGGGGGGGGGGTTTTGGGGGGGGTGGAGGGGAGTGTCCGGGCTCCCCCCCTCCCCGCCTCGCCGGCCGCGGGCCCGCCGTTTTTTCACGCCCGCCGAAATTTAATACGACGGAAAATCACGCACGCTCGAGTGTTTAAAATTCGATCCGCGGCCGGCGGCGTTTCGAAAAAATCCCACGGACGTTCCCGTGGCGCGACACTCGGGCGGGGAAACGGGTTCCCGCGGTCGCCGAACGGGAGACGCCCGGAGACGCCCGACGGCAGACGTGGCGTGAAGTAATCGGGCCGGACACTTTATCGGCGGCGGCGGCGGTGCTCGGTGCGTTAGGTACGCGTTACGCCCGTCCGCGCGTTTAAACACGTGCACGGCGGTTCGTGAGCGCACGGTATGCGCACGCACCGTCGTGTTGTTTAAACGCGTTTTACAGCGCGCCCGGGACGACGACGACGACGACGACGCTGACGAGAGAGCACGGACGGCGCGCGGCGAGCGGTAACCCATTCACCGATCTTAATCTCGGCTCATCTGTCAGTGTCAACACTTGCACTCGGCGGCGGCGGCGGCGTCCCGAGTGCCCACGCGATCTCTCGCTACCGCATTATATCAAAACGTGTATAATAACAGTACGGCGTCCGAGCGCGCACTCCCCGCGGCCGCGCTCCGTCCGGTACGATACGCGCGCTGTCGCGAGTATTGTCGTAACGCGGCGGCGCCGCGGGAACAACGGCCGGCGATCGCGGTCCGCAATATTGTCCGGCGGTTATGACGAGCGCGCGTGTTTACGCCGTCGTACCGCGACCGCTTCGGGGTACGGGACCCCCTGGCCACCTCCCGCCGAACGGTTCGGTCGAAACGTCGTCGCTCCGGCCGCGTACGGGCGTCGGCGAAAAGGGACGGCGGAACGTTCGCGTCGCGCCGCCCGGGAATATTTAGACCGCCGCGGGGGGGGGGGGGGGGGGGGGGTTTCGTAACTCTTACCCCCCCCCCCCCGTTACATTTGTGTTTTCTTTTCATTTTTTTTTCTTTCACTCGTACACGTACAGGACGGGCCGAATGACAGTTTTTCAAAACACGGGCTCGTTTAAATTTCGCGTATAAATACACGATGTCTGAAAACCGATTTTCACCGTCCAACACAGATAACACCGTTTGTTATCGCATGTTGTTATTGAGTTTACTTAAAATTTACAATTATTTTCATACCGATAACGGACGAACGCGCGTTTATTGTGAAAACTTACGAAAACTTGTTATTTTTTTAATTTCTTATTTAAAATTATCGTGTTGACGACGGACGAACGGGTATTTATTATAAAAACGTACTACCGGGGAAGCGGAAAGAAAGTTGCGGATTCGTGGCCCGCCGTTTTCATTACAAATCCGCCAAGTCGTCGTCGTCAAATAAACAAATCGGTTTTGAAGTTCGAAAAAATCGAAGTAATGTAGGAACTAACTTTCGCCCCGGGGGATCTGACTTTTGGTCCACTCTGTATATAGTAAGGTCGAGAAGGTTGTAAACCCCCGAAAAGTTTTACTTTTAAATAGATAATTCAAAGAAAAAAACGGCCGCCTGATACTGCATCGACGGACGCGCCGCTGTTTTAAGAGGAAAGTTGCGATGGAAAAAATAGAGATTCATTCATTCAATTTGTACGTCTCTTATACGCTACGATAAATTATTGCAACCCGAAAATAAGATTCTGAACGGAGTAATCGTATTTCTCCCCCGGGTTATAAACATTGTATAGTAAACGAGAAAACGAAAAAAATCGCCAGTTTTTCCCATTCGTTAAAAGAAAACCGAAACATTACCTCAGTAAGATCGAAAACGGCACAAGATAATTCCGATAAAGTTAATGATTTGATCGAATTTCCGGTAGAAAAGTTGTTTACGGACACACGAAACAAAAAAAAAATGCTTCGTAATAAAACTAACACGTTCCTCGCTCGGTTCAGTATGTACAGAAACTTCACAAATGTGCCTTTGTTTTTATTGTGTGTTTGGATACAGATTCTTTTTCAAACGTATCGCCAAATTAATTTTTATTTTTTTTTTTACAACGGAAAATACCTGTACGGTTTCTCAAATACTTTGCGAGATTGCGTGACACCTACCGAATTTGAAATAGGCGACGGCGGCGACGGTTATACGGGCGACACGTAGCCGTTCATTTGTCTCTGCTGTTGCTGTTGCACTTGCTGTTGTTGCTGATGCTGCTGCTGATGCGGTTGTTGCGAAGGACTGCGGACGGAAAAGGGGTAAAAAAAAAAAACGTAAAATAGGTACGGAATACCGAACCGATTCGGTTATTGCAGCAGGACAGTGCTGCTGCAGGTATACTCACGTTTTATAAAACGGTTTGAACGCGGTACTCGCGTCGTTGGCCACAACCGCCATCTGATGGTTGTTGTTGTTAGTGTTGGTGTTGTTGTTGTTGTTGTTGTTGTGTTGGCTGAGCACGGCGATGTGCTGTTGATGGTATTGCTGTTGTACTTCTTGCTGCTGTTGGGGCGGCGGGACGTGTTGCCGGTGGTGATAGTTGTTGTGCTGCTGCTGGTGATGGTACCCGTTGTAACTGCCCTGATGGCCGACGCCTCCGAACTGTTGTGGCTGTTGCTGTTGCTGCTGCTGCTGCTGCTGTTGTTGTTGTTGCTGTTGTTGTTGACCGGAAGAGGCGGACAGCGGTAACTTCATGTTGGGCGGGGTCTGCGGTGGCGTGTCGGTCTGCACGTCAGGATATCCGGCCATTTGCTGGGCCGACGACGACGACGAATTACTGTTGCCACCATTGTAACCGCTGCCATAAAACCCGTTGGCGCCGCCGTATCTGTTTTATGCGCGTAAAAATCACAAAAAAAAAAAAAAAAATAAACAACGGTTTTATTATTTTATTAATGTTCTTTTTTGTCGAAATAAAAAATCGTGTTAGAGAACAATAATAATAATACATGTTTGTGTAATAATTATACTGTAGCGCGCCCGGCGGCGACGATTGCGTTTACCTGGAATACGACGAACCGGACGGCGACAGCGACGAGTTGGGCATGGTGAAGCCGGGCGACGCCAGACTGGGGCTCACGTTTGGCCACTGGTGTCCGGGCGGCGGCGTCTTGGACGCCGCGGTATCGGCCAGTGACCATATCTTGGGCTTGGTGGGCGGCAACGGGATGCCGCAGTCCTGATGGTGATCTTGGTCCTGGTGCTGCATGGCGTGATGGTGCACCTTTTGCATGTGATGGTGCATCTGGTCGGGGTGGTAGATGTGGTGATGTTGGAGCATCGGTTTGCGATCGTCGTCACCGTCCGACATGACGCCCTGGCCCATCATGTGGTCCACGTGATGGCTTTCTGCGGCGATACAAAAGTCGACGTTAAGTGTACAAGTATAATAGACATGCCGTGCTGCATAATATGATTATGTTTCTATGATCAAAGGCGCTATCTAAAAAATCGAAAGCAAGACTGTACAGAGTATTCGGCGAGACCGGTGCGATAATGTACTCGCTCGAAACGTGGCCCAGGAAGAAGCACGGGAAAAACGATACGGTTAGAAAGACACGTCGGAACGGAAACCGCGAGGAAAAAGACCCGGGAAAATACGGATTGACGTATAGTAGTAGAAGACCTAAAAAACCTGAATCATGGACCGCGGTCGGGCACTCGGGGTATAGTCGTGCCGGTCAGAAGTAGAAGAACAAGGCAGGGACAGACGAAACTCGAGGTCGATCATTACCGACGAAAAACGATTCGGATCGGAGTTTGCTGGTGGTTACGCGTGTTTTGAAAGGTCGACCATAATACGTTTCGTATAAATATTCCCGTATTTCCTGCGTTTTTTCCCCCGTTTATCGTGAAAACTCCCGAAAAAATAAAAAAAAAAAAACGTCGCCCCGCGAAAATCTCCTTTCAATAAAAGACGGCGCGCCCGAAAACCGGAGCGAAATTTCCGGTCAAAAAAAGTGGCCCGTTTAAAAATAATAATAATAATAAAAACACCGTCGTCGTAAAACCAATCCGTAGCTCCGCCGAGGAATCTGAAAAACTGACGCGGGCGCCGCCGGGCGCGGGACGGGATTATGAATGCGAAATCGCGTGGGAAATCTCCGCGGCCGCTCGTCGCGCGCGTCCAGTCGCGCCCCGCGGTTCGCGTGCCCGCACGACGGCACCTCGTCGCCCGCCCGTTTCCGTACACGTACGACGCGGAGACGCACAACCGCGCGCGCGGAATTTTCACGACGTCGCCGCGCCGCCGCGCACTAGACGCGACCGCGTAACGCCCGTACAATAGTAGTGGCTGCGGCCGTCGTCGTCGTCGCGCGTAATTGCGCGCGGTACGATATGCAAATTTCGGTGTGCTCACGAATATTATTGAGCGGCGCGGGAATATTATTTATTTACACGCAAAAGCGCCCGCGAGTTTGCGCACAGCCGATTCACACGAAGGCGGCGTACCTACAATACCTACACGTAATATACACACGCACGGCGCGCGCGTCATGACATCTTTATCGCGTACGCTCCGTACGCGCGAGAATAAATTATCATATAATATAACATAATGTAATATATTACAATAAATAATATAATGTATTTATTATTATTATTATTTTTTTTTTTTTTCTGTATACGCGGTTCTGGGTGTGAAACGGATCGCGCGGGCCGCCGATCGTGACCGGGAGATGGCCGAGATAGGCATTATATTATACACTATATAATAATAATAATAATAAAGTGGAGGCGAAAGCCCTACTGTTTCGATACGGCGATGTGTTACAAAACGCTATACAATAATATGCACGCACAATGCGGCCGTGAATAAATAATAATATATTATTATACGACGACGACGACGACGACGGCGACGAGATAACCGTACGAACGGGCGGCGGTCCCGGGCGCGCATTAACGTTCCCCGCGTTCGAAACGAGCCTCTGCGGACGCGAACGGAATCCCGTCCTTCTCCTCCTCCTCCTACTCCTCCGCCACCGACCGACCCCGTGCAAATTATTTACACGCCTCGTACCGATACACGACGGGAGAACAATATAATAATTAGCGGCGGTTATTGCGCGATTTATGACGCGGAACGGCCGCTATTGAAATCCGACTGCGTTTCGGAGCAATTACAATAACGGGCGATGAGGTTTGTCCGATAGAACGGTACGTTTGTATTGCACGAGTCGGATAGGCCGCGCGGCGTTTCAGATTGACGGGATGACGGGCGTCGGCGCTGGTATGGGAAAAATGTACGTCGCATACTACGCCTGGGGAATCCGGTAAAAGAGGAATTGCCTAGAAAATCCTAGACAATTTCATTCTAAAAAATCGTCGACATTTTCCGAGTGGGCGCCGAGAAAAAGTGTAAGCCCGACACGATATTATGTCAATCCGTCGGGACGCGCGCGTCGATAATTGTGATGGCCGACAAGGAGGATTCCGTATTTTCAAGTCCGCGGCCCGTTTCGGTGGTGGGGGGGGGCGCGAACGTTTTAATATACGGTCCGCGGAGACGCGAACGGAACGTGATCCGGATCGGTTATTTGTTCGCTCGTCGCAATGTTCCCGCGAAACTGTCTGTCGCAGTGCCCCCCGGGCGTAAACTCGAAATTCGGTCGATGGGAAACACCGTCGTTTTGCAACAAAAAGAACGGCGATCAGATTTCAAATTTCTTTTTCAGGAGGCAAAAATAATGACGACAACATTACAGTTTTTAATGATGTTTATCATGGAAAATAATAAAATTACTCCTTCGTAATCAATCGCGTACACATGCGTTGCATGTGGTATACGCCAGTCGCGTTTCAACAAATCGGCGTTGACTCAATTTTATTTTAAAAAGGCACCCGGATATCTTTCAGTCGACATTAAACCAACTTGATTATCTGTATTTAAATGCGCCCTTTTACCCGCACTCTGTGCGTCTGATTTTTATGATTTTGATACCGAAAACGTATTTTTCGATTTTTTTTAGCGGTATAAGCCCTTTTAAGAAAACACCGTCGACACGTATGCGTATCCATTAGTGTCGGAACTAGCCGGACGGATAATCGGATGTTTGAACATCCGGAAAAAAAATCAATTCGGATGGTTCGTATCGAACGCGATGTAATATTCGGATACGATGGGCCGCCGGGAACATTCGGATTTCGCGGAAGTCGAATTATCCGGACACAACGCTACAACCGGTCGTCCGAACCGTTCGGGAAAAAAAAAAAAAAAAAATCCCGATAAATTACGTGCCGGACACTATTGCGTAGCGTCCGTACGACGACCGTTCGAGATGAGGATTCCGCGCGACGGTCCGTTTCGCGTGCCGGGGAACGCCAATGCGCTTCCCCTCCCCCATCCCCACCACTCGCCAGCCGGACGACAGCGACGGCGGTGATTCATCCGGGCGGCGGCGCGCACGCGAGACGTCCCGCGACGGTTTTTAAACGGCCCGCGCGTCGCGCGCGACACTCATAAACGCCGCCGAGTCGCCCCTCGCACAACGGATACGGCGTATTTATTTTCGCGCATTATCGAATTGTCGTTATTGTATACGCGCCGGACCGGGGCGGGAGAGAAAAAAAAAACTTTTCGTTAATAGCCCGGAGACGCCGCGTTTACGGCCGCGCGGGTGCGTGCGCGATAATGCGATAAAGGGGCGCGCGGAGAAAAGCTCTTTTTCGACGAGAGGACCGCGCGAGGGCGTCGCCTCGCGCGCGTCCCACAAGTGTCCGGGGCGCCGCAGCGGCAGCCGCCCGCCGCGCGGATAATACAATAATAACGACAATAACGCCGACGGTGAGCGGAGGGCGAATAAAAATACAATACGGGCGCGCGCGCGCGCGCGCCCGCCAATTACGCTAATGCATTACGGCGTTTTTCCGAACGATTTAACACGGCCCGTACGCGCGTGAAAACGTATCGCCGCCCGCGACCCTACGTGCGCACACACTAGCAACGCACACTGGCGCGACACGTATTATTTCGCATACCTTTTCTGATGTCCTTGAGTTTTCCGTCGCCCATCAGCATGTCGTCCTTGTCCTTGTCCTCGCAGTCCGACGAACCCGCGTCGTCGTCGTCGTCGTCCGTCTTGTTCTTCGGCTCCCACGTCATTTTGTTCTCCTTCTTCAACCGCCTCCGGGCGTTCGCGAACCACGTGCTCACCTGGGTGAGCGTCATTTTCGTGATGATGGCCAACATGATCTTCTCGCCCTTGGTCGGGTACGGGTTCTTCTTGTGCTCGTTCAGCCACGACTTGAGCGTGGCCGTCGACTCGCGCGTCGCGTTCTTCCGCCGGGCCGCCAGATCGTATCCCGCCGCGCCGTACCTGCGAAAAACGGGGACGGCAACGCTGTTTTATAACAGGATAATGATAATAATGATAACGCACGCGGAATACTAATAATACGCGGGGTAATAATAATAATAACAATAATAATAATCGTCATTTTTTTTTTCATTTTTTTCGTTCGCATTTTTATATTCCTTATCAAAACCCCGTAATCTATGATCGAAAACGGTCGGCCGGCGCACGGCCGTCCGGCGGTCGTCGCGCGAGATTTATGGTCAATACCGGTTAGATTTATGCGTCCCGTACGCGCGCGCTTGACCCCGCGCCGGGACGTAAGTAATTTATGCTCGCCGACGACGGCGACGGCGACGGGCCCATAATATTCGTCCGCAAACGTTATTACAATATTATTATTATTATTATTATTATTATGCGCTTTACGTTTTATATTGTTTCTGTCTCCCGCGCGGTATCCGTTATTTTTTTTTAATAATTTATATTTTTTCCACCGGGTATTTTTTTCGTCCGCTAGACCGCTGCCCCCGGTCCGGCCGCCTCCGGTACCCCGCGGGGTTGTCACAACACGTCATCCGCGCATAAATAACGACAACGGTGTGGTAATAAAGCACGCGCGGGACGACAATATTATCGCGGCGGCCCGGCGGCTCGCTCGCGCCACCGCGTAATCCATAATCACTGACCGAGAGCGACGGCTACTGGTCGGAGAGTAGGCGCTGCCGCGTCCTCCCCACCCCCTCCTTCCACCTTCGAAGACTCCGAGAGAATGGGTTTTAGCCGCGACGTGTTGCGCGTGCGTTCCGCACCCGATTCGATTGCGGTTTTGTAAGTTTTTGTACACACACACACACATATACAACAATAATAATGATATTGTCGCCGAACTACGCACGCATTGTTTTTCTCTCGTCGAAACGAGCAACGATTCTGTTTGGTTCGATTAGTTATCAACTCGTTTCCCAGTAACCCCGTTGCGATTTTCGAGCGTGGCAGTTTTACCGGAAACACATACAATCTCGATTCGAGTTAAAGTATTGAGGAGGTCGTCGTTCGATTTTCTCCGCGGTTTTCGTAACAATTTCGTGCAATATTTTAATCCGGCACGGGTAAACGGCGGAGGAATGTGTGTGTGTGTGTGTGGGGGGGGGAGGTGATTCGTAAAATTTTAATTAACGTTTAACCATTTCCTGATTACCGGAGACACACGAACGCCGTTTGAGAAGGTGACGGTAAACGGCAACGTATTAAATAATGAACCGACGCGTGGAATTTGTTTTTTACAGACAAACAGTAAATGCAAATTTCGAAAATTAAAATATTTTATTTGACGATGGTCGCATCGTTTGTCCCATCCACAACGGCAAAAATATCGTAGGTAAACAAATCCGATTAGGTTGATCACGCACGTAGGATTATTTATGGATATAATATTATGATAATATGATAGCGTCTGATTTTTACGTAATACGCGATTGATTTTCCGCCACGATTTCGGAACAATATATTATAATTATATTGTCGTTTATCTGCAGTCTTTGGTTTCCGATCGTTACACAGGTTGACCGGTTAAACGCCGAAAGCCAAAAGCTCTACTGCAGTATAATAATAGTGCCAGCGTTAAAATAATCCTTTTCATCACGTTCGGACTATGCAACGGCCCAAAATAATATTTAAATGTAGGCGGCTTTGCGTGCACATTGTGTGTACACGCGACAAAAGCTCCGGGGGGTGGGGGGGTTAGTGAGGAGAGGATTACGGAAATAACAATATAACGAGCGACCCACCGTCACGTGGGAGAGGGAGAGAGGTTTGGGGGCTAAATTTGAAAACACAAACAATAATACCCACACCTAACCTAACTGTATACACTGTATATAATATCAGCTATAGATTATATTGTTATGTTGATTATACCCGGGGGGTTTTATTATGTTATTATAATAAAATACGCGAATAAAAGGAAAACCACCGCCGCCATCAGAAAACAATGATAAATCGCTCAACGACGCTCGTAGGACGATCGGAAAACATTTCAGAAAACACACGATACTACTTGGGTATTATGTGACCTTCGCGTTAAATTTTCGGATATTTTGACTTGGCCAAAACAATTTTATCCGTATAAGTATCAAATAGATCCAAAAAAAACCTCGACAATTTCAAAGGCCGCAGTAAATAACTTTAAACAAAATCGTCAGAATGCTCGCTATTAGGACTCCTTGAAAATGTCCGGTTTATTATTTTTAACTAAATTAAAAAAAAAAAACCCAAATCGAAAATAATGAAACCGTCGTTGTCGTAAACTTTTCCGTTTTGTCTACACTACCTCCCCCTCCCCCCGGTTTTCTCCGACAACTGTATGAAAACTATTCGGAAAATCGAAAAACCCGCTTACTTAATGCACCCACCAGATTCGAAATTCTACAAAAATTAACATGCTCAACCGCGGTCGTTTTTCGTCAGGAGTTTGATTTCCGTTAGATATGTTATTTACGGAGACGAAAAATTCAAAAAAAGCGCACGTCACGGTGCGAAATCCATACGCCGTTTCTCGCCGCTCCCGGAATCTGGAATCTTGGAGGAACAAAATGTTTTCGGAAACGCCCGTCGCTTTATCGTGTGATCGCGTTTTATCGGACTACGAGATGACGTGTTTTGGCGGATAATCAATTGTAACCCGGTTACTGTATTTTATAGACAAGTCGTTTTGGCAATTTTGGTTATTATACTCGTTATACTCGACTTTGGTTACAGGTTACTGAAATATCATATAACCAAATGAAACGGTTATGACGTTTAGTTATTGAATAGATATCTATAGCCGGTACTTTATTTTATTATCGATTAGTATTATTTGTAATGACCATGATAACGTGTCGTTTTCGTGAATCTATAATCATGGGAGTGCGCAGGATTTTTTAGCAGAGTGTTCCATAAAGAAAACGGGCTGTTATTTCTTGTCCTTGAATCCTCATTTCTTTACAAAAAAAGATAGTGAATACAAAATATCGATTTATTAAAAATCAAATCGTTCATCTACATACTTATACTATATCGCCTATATATCTAACAATATTTCACGAAAAAGTTATTATGTATCTAAACATATAATCTTTAATAATAAATTATAACTTTGTTCAAAATTTAAAAAAAAACTCAATGTCATCGCAATTATAATAAGTCCTGAACCCAAGGCAGCGGTGACTTATCACTGATGAGTAATATCACGCAGTGAGTGGTTGCCGATTGATTTGATTTATTGGTTATACTGTATGACAATTTTTCATACCAAATTGGTTAGCGTTTAATTATCAAATATAACCCAGAACGAGTCAATTTCGTTTTCAACCCGAAGCCCATGGCACACCCCGCAAAAACCTGTGCGTACGCTTACGTCTATGACCACCGTTAACTAAAACCATACATACGTAACCGTAACTACCGATAACGAATATAACCGGGTCGATCGCTAAAACACGCCTATTATTGCCGCGGTACGGAGCGACGGCGTAACAACATATGAATGCGAGTGGAAAAACGAGAAAAAAAAAAAAAACCCCCCCCGTAAAAATCAACGTCTTTTGGGTTCAGAGCCGGGAATTCCGCTGTGGCGACGACGGCGGCGCCGGCCACACGGAGGCGGCGGCGATCGTGCGTTTTCTCCTCTATATATGGCCTCGGCATAACCGGTGCGTGACGGCGGTGGCGCCGAGTAATCGATATAATCGCCGGCCATTTTGTCTTGTGGGCATACACGGTGTACTCCTGCTGATATTATTATTATTAAACTACTGCCTGCTATACCCGCTGCTACTCTATATATATATATTCACTATGTATACTACTAAGTACTTACTATACTTACTATACTTATACTACTACTTACTACCCACTTACTCGCTCGCTGACTTTTATACTATTATACGTACACCTTTACTGTATACACACACGCACACACACACACACACACACACAACGTCCAACCCCTCTATACTTCGTATACGTGCCTGCAGCCGTTTATAAAGTACCTGTATACTTCTATACAACCGCTCGCCTATACACTTACGGGCGGTGTATCCGAATCGGTTCCCGTTTAAATTTGTGACGTATCCAGTTCGCAGTAAGTTAGTCAAATACGCACGTTTCCCTTCTCGTTCTTACAGGCGTATTAGGACTGTCCACTTAGAATCACTTCTACTGTCTACAATATAGAAACAACCATAACATCCAAACACGTCCAGATATTTTGTTTGTTGTATGAGTGTAGGCATTAAACGGGAACCCATTCGGCGTGTGCGGTATGAGCTCGGGAATTTTCGACGGAAGAGTCGAATGTATAAGTAGTAAACGATAATAACGGCCGCTAATCAAATCGTTGACGTTTTTTTCATTATTGCGCCCACTACTATAAACCCGAGGACGGGAATCTGAAAAATCTTAATCCCGAAAATAAGGTAGATTTTTATTATATTATTCAATCAATCGAGCGTTTTTCCTCATAACTCGGTTGAAATTACGATAATATATTATTATACGTTTCACGATTGAATCGCTAAAAGAAAAATATAAAAATATTCGTAACTGTTTTCTAAGTCAACAGGGTCGAGAGTTTTGGGGGCTCTGCGTCGTACCCCCCTGCGCACGAATATAACAATAATAATATTCATAGTGTACGGACATTCAATAAGAGGGTTGCGGCCGGGGGGGGGATATACATACTCTTAAACAGGAGAGAAAAAAAACCACCACTCACCCATAAGCGGCGAACGTGGAGTCGTAATGATAGTAGCCGGTGGACGGTTGCAGACTGGCGCTGGGCCACATCTCCGACGAGCCCGTCGAATCTTTCAGTCCATACGGATTGCTCTGTAGGGAAAAAAAAACACACGAGATAAATAAAAAAAATAAGTTAAAACAAACGTCTTTCTTTTTTCTTTTTTTTTTTTTTCATCCGGAACAATATAATACGACAACGACTGCGACGACGATCCGTGCTTATTTCGAACGCGCGGAGACGACAATCAGGTCGGTCGAGTCTATAAATCGACGACTATACCTATATATAATAATAATACTTAATATACGTGTGTGTGTGCGTGTGCGTGTGCGCGCGCGTAAGTATTTATAAGGCGGCTTATAATAAATAAATAAATATATATGTATATACTCTGACTGTGTGTGTGTGTGTGTCTACATATAAAACTGGTCGAGAGGTAATCCCCCCTCACTCCCCCCTACCGGGTTCGCGTGTATATACGAACACGATTTGCCCAGGAGGTCCGACCCGTCAACGTCATGAGGTCGCGTCGCACGGTGTCCTTTTATATTACGTATATTATTGTTATTATTTTATTAGGTATACGATACATTATACATTATTATTGTCGTCTGCGACAGCGCACGAGAGATTATAATATTATTATGCGTTGGCGGAGGAGTTTCGGGCGGCTACCCCGGCCACCGACGCAAACGTAGTCGCGCAATACGCAGGCGTAAGAAAAAAAAAATTCGACGCCCGTAATGCGAAATCCGAAATCGTCACGGGACGCGCGAATAGCAAAGGGTTTATAGCGTCGGGACTTAGCCTTTTTCGAAAATCCCACCGAGAACCGTGCCCCCCCGCTCGCCGCCGTTGTCCCTTTCGAACCGACACGAGTTATTTAATTGACGAATGTTAACATTGGGGAGCCGCTCGTATGAAATGAAGAAAGAAGACGCGTTTTTTTTTTGGTCTCCGGGTGGAAAACGCAATTTTCCTTTTTTTTTTTTTTTTTGTCTTAACCGAAACGCCGGTCCGTTTAGTATTTTTAAAAGGAATTCTAAGTACGGGGAATTTCCGCGGATCGTTACTCGTCGAACTTTATTGTGGAACGATTGTTATTATGTCGAACGCGGTGGTTGTCGGATTCGCTATAAAAAAAGTAAGTTTAAAGTTTAAAAAACAAACGATGCGGTATGTCGCGCGGTTTAATCGGTGTCGAATATACGGCGTGTTACCTCGAGAACGACATCGGCGGAGGGTGTGAGGGAAACACCTATATACCATAATATAACCCGTGTGCCGTATAGTTTACCGACCTCTCAGAATCGTTTTTCGACCGCGATACGGTTTATCGTCGTTTTCGCAGTGTACGGAAACTTATACATTATCAATTTATTGTAAATATTTTCGATACGCGTACATTATTATCCTGCAGCGATGTTCGCACAGCTAAGCTATCCGTCTATACAACGGCGACGGCTGCGCCCGTAGTGGCGCGAAAAATGTGCCCGGTTCGGTTTTGGTTTTAACCGTTTGTCTGAATTTTTAACGTTAATTACTCGAGTCGAGTTCGTTTGTATCCATTTAGTTTACGATACGAGAAAATTGAAAATTCCGGAAATACACACGCAGACAAGTGCGTTTCAGATGGCCGAATTATACGGGGAAAAAAAAAATTACGATAAAAAAAAAAAATTGCCGAAAAACGGCTCAACAGTCCTCGTGCTGAAGATATAATAATATATAAGGAGTGTCCGGTCGACGAGAGTCCGTATATAATAGACACATAATTCCCGATAGAATAATAATTGATAAAACAGGTTGTTCGCCGCAGAGTTCAAAACTATTAACTCTTATTTTTTTTTTCTAACACAATGATATATATATGTATACATAATATACGTACATCCGCAAAAAAAAAAAAAAAACGAAAAAAAAACCTTTTATTTACGAATTCGGAACAGGTTTTTTTCGGGCCGCCTTCGTATCATCGCCGTCGAAATAATAAATAATACGATTTATTTGTTTTACGGTCGGTTCTCGTTTTCTTTGGGATTTTTTTTTTTTTTTTTAATTGATATATAAAAACGAAGGTACGCGTACGAGGAGATAATCGATCTAATTGATTCTTTTTTTTTTTTTTAATTATTTTAATCTACACGAACGTAATAATATCGTCGCGGAGATTTTTTTTTTTTCTACGCATCGAACGAGAATCCAATCATCAAATCGTTTCGATCGAATTCGATTACCGGAGGGAAAAAACAAATTAATTACTCTGTATACAATTTGATTTTCGTTTATTATTATCGTTTGTAAGGCAAACGGCGTATCTAAAAAAAAAAAAAAACTATAATAACAAACGACATTTTCACACGGCCCTCGTCGTGTCGATTATATAAATTGCGGCGATTTTTTTTTTTTAATTATTACTTACTATATAACGTATGCGCAGGTTTATTACGTATCTATTACACGGGTATACGACCGCGATATCTGCAAACACGGGCAATTCCTATATTGACATACACGCGCGCGCGAACACACGCTCAAACACGTAAAAAATTACACGTTAATAATCGCGAACGCTCGTCGGCCGTACGGAAATCGCCTTTGTATATTATTACATAGTATACGTATACGCGAAATACTAGTGCGTTTATTATAAAATAAATTATTGTGTCCGTTTTATCGACGTCGTATACCGGACTTACAATGGGTAGTCGCCGACACGATAATTACACGTATCGTGACCGCATATTATTATAATAATATCGTCGTTATTGTCGTCGTCGTCGCGTATAAAAAAACCGAAAAAAACCGGTCAAATTGCGAATTCGACTCTCGTCGGATTCCACGGTATTATACTACGGACGAACTTTTATAAGTACACACACAGTATAATACCTACGGTACTGTTCTTCTTTTTATCGCCATCGAAATTCGTTTCGATATCGTAATCGATACACCGTGTTGATGATTCCGGCGAGACAAACAATCCGCGGATATTTCCGGCGGAAAATTAAAAATATCCGTTTATCGTAAAGATTCAAGGTAACGCGTAAACGCCCGAAAAAAAATTACTTTAAAAATAGAAAAACTCCGAGTAGGTTCCGTCTCGTTCTCGTTCAAAAGCATCGTACGCGAAACGATTTTTTTTTTAACAAAACGAAGCCACTCGACGTGTAGGACAATAGTAACGCCACTTCGGCGTTACTATTGTCCGACGATATAATGCGAAGAATTTCCGCCCGCGGTGGTACATAATATGCGATGAGTTTATCGAGATTTTCGGCAGTTCGCCCCTATAGGTCATTTTTATTTTTATTATTATATCGATCTCTGCGTTACCTTGACAACAAGAGGGAAAAACCACGAATAACACGGCTGCACTCAGAATCGGTTTTCCGTTTGCAACGATTTATCGTCGCACGCAGTATATAAACTATAAATTACACCGTATATGTGATCCTATAGTAACTTCCCGACTGCTCACGACGACCTATCCGCTAGCAGTATTAACTTTTTTTCTTTTCTTTTTTTTTCTTTTTAGATTCCGAGCGAAGCGATGGATTTATTGATTTTACTATGACGTGTTTTTTTCTGGAACTTAATATAATATTATAAAACTTTTTTGTAGCATGTTTGATCGGGTCAGTGCATTGGATGAGGTCATTTCTTTTTTCTGATTTATCTTGTAGTTTTCATAAATAAGCGAAAACTAGCAAATCTGTTTTGAAATAATTTTTATCGATTTTTGGGATACGTAACCTTGGCAACGTAGAGAAACTCTACGTCTAATTTTCGTCGTATTTTTTTACAATCCGAAGGTCGGTTGTTCACAACTCGGTTCAGACTCTGTTCCGATATTCGCGTATACATTTACCGGAATTTCACGTGCTTAAAATCACTTTCAGGGGGCGCTGCTGACGGCAGCCCCTTCCGCATACCCGGAAAAATAGGCCCGCGCACGCCCGGACGTGATTTAAAATCGAAGAAAAACGCGAGTCTCGAACAAGACCTACACGTAATCGGTCGCCGCGATTATAAATATTATTGACGGGCGAGTGACGGCGACCGAGAGATTTTCGGGCGCTTAAAGCGAAATATTCGACCGAAATTCCGTCACGCAGTCAATAATAATATAATAAATATTTTTCTCGCTTTTTCTCTACGTCTCTCACTCCCCCGTCACTCTTCCCGCGTCCGTATCGCTTCTCGATAAGTTTATTAAAATATTACGCGACGGCGACGGGAATTTAATCGGAGGGAAGCCCGCGACACGCGTGTAATAACATCGAACGCACGCGCGCGCGCTCGCGGTGTTTATAAAACGTAATAATACGATTTTAATAACCGGTTTATCGCGCGTTTATAAAATACGCCGAGCTTGCGTCGCACGGCGGCGGAGGGTCGCGCGCGACGCGCAAGTGTGCAAATATTTCGGTCTCGCGGCGGCAGCAGCTGTTAGCCGGCGCGCGGGTCGGACCGCGTCGCCGCCGTTGTTCCGCCGCCGCCGCCGTCCTTTTCGCCGGGCGCGCGAACGGCGGACGGACGCGGGGTTTTAAGTGTTAGATACGGCTCCCCGGGGATCGGCAAAGGCGGCGGCGGCGGCGGCGGGGCGTTAAGAAGCCACCCTGTGGGATATGCGCTTTTAATATTAAATATACTCGTATAATAATACAATATACGTATATATAATATTATAACGGCCCGCACCCTCCGAGGAATTTCACGGCTTCCCGGTTTTCGGCGCTCCGCTCTCGCGTATAATACACTCGTAATATACGAGAGTATTATATTATTATATTACGTATATATATATACAGCCGAGGGGACGACGAGCCGTGCAACACCCGGTATAACTTCGGCGCCGCGCCGGGGAAAAAAGGGCGCTCGGGTCGAATTTTCGGCGTTTTTTTTTTTTTTTTTTATCTTTTTTATAATTTCTTCTTGTGCATACTACGTGCAACTTTTTCCCCATTTTTTTTTTCGTCCGGTCTAATCGGCACGGTGCGCAGACCCTTCTCGCGTATATGATATAAAAATTGTCGCTACAATACAATAATAATAATAATACGATGCGCACGCGTTTTGTTCGACCGCACGACGTCATATAGTGACTCCGCAATTACGAGGTATTCGGTTAGACCGCGTTCGGCAACAGTTACGCCGTTATGATATAATATGTATTTTAACTGGTATTTTCAAATCGAAGGGGATCGGCGCGACGACCGGACGAATCCGATTTTTTTTTTTTGTAAAAAATGTAAACTGTTTTGCGTATCGGTGCGACAAACACACATGAGTCAAGGGTTACAACGATAACGGACTTATCTTGTTTTATTCGTTTGGCGCAACAATCTGATAAGTCCGAATTTATCTTGTTTTCGAGATTTTTTTTGTTTTAGTCTCATTTGTTGTGAAAACCGGATAGGTAATATGAATATATTACGCTTCTCGTGTAGTTTTTTGAAGTGGACTTATCTGGTTTGTTGCGTTATACCCTTCAACTGGCATTCGCTTCTGTTGAAAACTGCACGAAATTGACTTGAGCCATTTTTCCCTGCATGGGAGCAAAAATATATCGATCGGCATTTGTATAGACATCAATTGTCGTCGACGCGCGTGTAAAACATTAATTTTCCGAAATTCTGAGATATAAGTAGCCAATGGTTCTACTAAGGTCAGTGCTTTTTTTTTTTTTTTTTGTTGTTCTATCAGTACAAACAACTGTACGACCAAAAATCAAATTCCGATCATAAACATCCGGGGCGATGACGGTAGCAAATTTTGTCTACGATCGTCGGAAACGTCGTTCCCCCGCAATGTAGTTCACAATGGATAATGGAGAAAAACCGGGAAATATTTACGCCACTTCGATTTTGTTTCTAGATTCTGGGCGTATATCAAATATTACTAAGGCCAGTAAAAAAGCCAGAAGATTCCCAACAGTTTTTCAAAAAAAAAAATCAAAACCACCGACAACTTCAATAATTATAACATCGATTTTGTTTTTGTTGATTTCCGGGTTACTTTGACTGCAATACAAGTTGGAATACAGCTATTAACAATGCTCAAAATCGTTTAATTGTAATCATTTGTCATTGCACACTTGCACACACATACACACACACACACACGACATGTTCAAACTAACCTAGTATACCTATTTAACATCCTTGCATTTACAATTGCAGTAGCCGATGCAGGCCTATCCGCGCGGTGCGAAGCATGTTAGGATTATATTTCCTCGGTTTTTCTCTCGTATATATAGGCGTTCTAAATAAATTGATTCGACGGTAAAAAAAAAAAAAAAATCTGTAGGTATATACGATGAAGGAAACACGGTACGAGCTGTTTGTTGTCTGTGTATACGCTCTGAAGAGGTAAAGAAAAACGCCCGCTTTCTGAAATGTATAAAATTGCATGCCGTGTATACTACTATAATATGTAGGTGTATATATATTTACGTATACACGCGCGGAAAGAAATAGTTTTATTTTTTTATTTTTCAACGGCAAACGACGGGATTTGAAAATAAAAAATATTACACCGTCTAGTTGGAGAATGAGAAAAAAAAATCACCTTTTGGCGGTGTACGCGAACGCACCGCGATGAAAATATTGCGGTTTCGGCTGGCGTTTCGCGCAAAAAAAATATACCACCTCCCTATATGTTGACGGATTTCGCGTCGCCGTGTACATTTTATACGGTGCACGTAGTGTCAGTAAAAAAACGCGAAAAAAGCATAGGGGGGAATAAAAAAAAAAAAAAAAAAATCGTAATTATATTCGGTTCTCGTACGACCGTCGTGGTCGTGTGTCTTTATATAACCGGACGAGTTTATATACTTACGTGTGACCGGACGGCCCACATTAGGGGGAGGATTGTCCCGGTTTTATTTTATGGCCGTTTTCGTCCCACATTCGCGTGATAACTATCTAATAAAAACTAAAAACACTTTGATTTACCGTGGATTTAAATTCTAATGCGATTTTATATTATACACCGCATGTCGGAATGTTCGTCCGCGTTCATTTTAAAAGTTCAAATTTTCTGTATACTATTGTAATGTTCAAAACGTATTAATATAAACGGCCGATTCGAATATACGAGCTTTAAACGCTTTTAATATTGAGTTTCGTTTATAGCGATCGTCGTGCGCAAAATCAGAGCCACGAACAATATTAAACAGTGATAAAAATATAAGAACGTTCCTTTTTTTCGATACTATATAAAACATTCAACAAGATCGAAACGAGAATTTACGGTATTTGAAACAATATACAGTATCGTTTTGAGTATTAACATGAATTATTTTTATTATAGAACACGCGGACGTTGTGTTTGTTCGAAAAAATATATTGTTAATTTTACGTTTCGAGTATTATTCAATTGAAAAACATATTTTTTTACCGTAAAAAGACGATATTTGTATTGTAGTTCATCATAATCGTCGCCTCGGCAAACGTGCGCGTGGTTTATACAAAAGCCATCCGAGTCTTCCAAACTAAATGGCACTAAGTATACATTAACAAAATGTGAAAAATATAATTTTTTTTATTATCATAGTATTTGTTAGTCTAAGACTAGGTTTTTACTTTTATCTTTATTAAAAATATCGTAAACGTAATCGATTTCGTAGTGAACGTGTATACGTTTTTAAAACATAAACGAATGATACTAAAAAGGCAATGGCTGATCGCACCGTAATTTCGCTTTTCTTATTGACTCATACACAGTGGTGATTTAAAGAGGGGGAATGAGCAAAGATATTATAAATAACAAAATAAAATTTGATCCTAACAGTAAGGTAAATTTTATCATGACTAAATAATAAGTGTACAGGTAGAAGATGTCATTTAAGACGGATTTGTGTTAAGGACTTTGTAAGTATTATTATTCCGTTATTAATTCATATGACAAATGAGCCAAAATTAGTATTCTATCTAATTACTAATACAATCGTGCCACAAATTTAACATCACCGACGTTTTTATGTATTACGGTACAGTTACAAAAATAATTTTAAAGTATTATACCGTGGTGTAATAGCATAGATATGCGACTCGGATCGCAAGCCCCCTAGCAACAGCAACTTTAAATATACGGCCCTGCTCACTAGTACGGTATTAGTTAGTCTGCCGGTCCAGAAAAAGTTATTTTCCTCAAAACTATTATAGAAACGTCTGGACTTATTGCCTTTTGGCTTAGTGGAAGACCAAGTAATATTATTATAGCTCTACGGCCGCGTGCAACCCCCGTTTTGTATTGTTTTATCCGCGATATCTATTATGCAAGAGACGTGTCTGAAAGAAATTTAGAAAGTGTCCCCCTTTTTTTTTTTTGTTGACCCGGGGAAAACTATTCTATATACTGTCACATCGACAATAAAATATATATAATGTACATAGGTGATATATAGTGACGGTTTATAGCGATACAATAATATATAATATAAGTAATCGCGTACTTTTTTATTTTATTTTTCTTTAATACACGGGCGCGGCCGAGAATAAAAAAAAAAAACAATCCGATATTACGAGAACGACGGGGGCGCGGCGTTACGCGTCGTGGTCCCGTTAAAATGGAACAAAACAAAACAAAAAAAAAAAAATTACCGAGCGACTTAACACTGTGCAGCTACCGACTTATCTTCCATCAGAAACGACGAGACGGTCTGCGGCGGCCGGAAATCCGGTGGAAAACCGTGTTCCCACAAAAAAAAAAAACACACGGAAAATGATAACAATAATAATAATAATAATAAAAAATACACCATTTATCCAGGAGAATTTTCTTCTCTTCCTAACCGGAATTGCACATTGGGTTAAAACTGTCTATATAATTACGATGATCGGGACTATGGAATTAACGCGTTTGCTTGGTTTTTTAGAATTTGTTTTTTTTTTTATTAGCTATCAGTTATTTATATGAGCTATAAGCTTTTTTCGGTCGAAGCCGCGAGACAGCTGTTTGTTTCTCCATAGATCTTATCGCACGCTTTTATACTGCGATAACCTGCAGTTGTATTTGTCACTTTCGTATGCGATTGTTGTACACGGTCATACGCCGTACAGAAAAATGGGTTCGGTCGACATTCGTTTCGTCGTATATTTTATATACCAAATACGGAATCTTATACACTCGTGCGTTCTTCGTGTTATTAATCGGCATTTGCTTTTGTTTAAAATATAAATATTGTATAGTTTCGATGAAAATTAAGCAATTTTGCGCTCGGGTACGTCCACAACGAATCGTTTTTCGCCTAGTATTGTTTTTTCGGGCATTGCACACTGCCGGCAAAATCAAGACCAATGTTTACATATACGTTGTATAATGTTAAAATTATAAGATTGTTACGAATATATTATTATATTTATATATAATTATGATTTAAATTTTGAACTCTGACTGTTGTTTTTAATTTTATTTTACAAATTTTTGAGAAAAATAAGTGTTTAATTATTTTTTCTCCGTATTTTTAGAATTTAAATACCGTATTTGAATACATATAACGTAGGTTTCTAGTACATAATTTAAATTATTTCATGCGTGTTTAACAATGTTTTTAGTGCGTTAAATTCACAGCTCTGAATTTATGATTTATCAAGTTTTCGGCCGGAAGATGATATTATTTATATTCTTGTGCTATACGCGCGCATTTTTTCGTAAAAACGGGAAAACGAAATGTATTCACTGAGATAAATAATGTGCAGTTTTCACTCGAATATACTGTGTTACGTATTATTAGCATTTTCTAGACGTTGGACGATTTCCAACACATGTTGGCTCTTTTTGAGTTATCTATTTAGATATTTTAAATCGTCGACGTTTTTTTTTTTCGATTTATACGGACATTTTTTTTTTTTTAGTTAGTTAATAGTCGAAAATCTGCTCTCTACGAGATTCGTCGTACTGATACGACTGTTTCGTTTTTAAGCGTAGGAAGGTGTTTCGACAAAACTGTTTGAAAAAATAAACATAATTTAAAAGTTTTGAAAACACTGTTTTCCTTTCCCATTTACAATTTAATCGTCGTCAGTCCTAAACCGGTAAGCGGGAAGGAAACTGATTGTTTTCAAAACTTTTTTTTTCACCCGAGTGTAATTCGACCGTCTCGAAAAATTATTTACGCGATCAAATCCGCTTTACAAACGCGACAAATCGTATAAAAGAACAGCTTCAAATTTAGCAGCGCAACTTATATTGGATCGCCAGCTCCTGTCGGAATCGCATTGTTTTCGTGACGGTTGCCCATATTAATTATTCTATCGCCGATTTGGAGATTTTTAACGATATCATACTTTGCGTGCGAACCACACCGGTAGACCGGAGGGACGAATCGACCGAGTCGCCTTCGACATCGGCTTTTTTTTTCCAATTTTTTTTTTTCACGTCCTAATACCCCATTTCGTTCCCGTCTGTTTTCAACAAAACCGCCGGCGGCTCAGCCGCAGACGAGTCGCGGCCCGCAGCAGCACTTTTCTCGACGAAAACTCGGTCGGATGTCCAACTATACGTATATATACACGCACACGATGATGCATATAAAAGAAAACCCGTCGCGCGCCAAACACGGTTTAGCTTTATACGAGTCGTTATTTTTCGAAGAGTATACCCCCTTTTTTTTCCCTCTTTTTTTTTTTTTCTTTTCTCGGTCCCCCAAGAGCATCGCCGCCGCCGTCGCCGCCATACGGATTCTGCGACATCGGCGACATACACACTATATATAGTTATATATAGTTTTTTTATTCGTGCGTGTACGCTATTTTATTCGTATTTTAAGCGTTTTACACATCACGCGTGCCGTTCGATACATCGCGGTGTTGCGGAATATACCGTATGTACCTACTACTGCTGGCAGTATATATCCGGCGAGAATCGCTTCGGATTTATTCGACGACGGGCTTTTAACAGACGACGAAAACGGCGCCGCCGGGGGAAATCGCTCGATATATAATATAATATATTGTATAGGGTATAGTATAATATATGTATATTATACGGCTGCTGCAGCGTGTATACGGTTTGGGAAATCGCATCACCTGTTTGTCGTCGTCGGCCAACGTTGCAGAGTGGTTTACAGCGAGCGTTTGTCCCGCGGGGTGATCAATCGCGCCGAAAGGTTCGCGTGGACGCGGGGAAAACGGACAAAAAAAAAAAAATGATAATAAAAAATCATCCGGCGTGTATATATAGGTGCGTACGCACGGAGCACCGAAATCCACTTTTCGGAAAATAGCAGCGGCGGTATTTAGCGACGATTCAATATGATATTCGACCATTTTGGGAGACATGATAAATAATAATAGGCCGCCGCGAGCGACGTGTATAATAACGAGTCGTCTTTTGCCGAAATGCGGAGTCGAAATCAAAACATAATGCAGCCAACAACTGAGTTTTAACGAAGATAACTTACATACATAGATACATAATAAGCGAGTACATTTGTGTCCGTCTGTGAATAAAAACGGCTCGTTTGTAGAGAATTTTGTCCGATTCGAGAACATTGAGATATTTGATATGGACATTTTTCGAGAAAATAATGCCAGACATTTTCCCTCAAAACTTACGTTTAAGTCATTTCTAGACACGGAACAATTTGCAATCTGACTACGTTTGAGCTTTTATAAACATTTTAAACTGTCTAGTTTTTACTGGTTTTTAAATATGATATGCTTTTTTTGTGTGTGTGTCCCTAAACAACTTCTCTACGGGAAATCAAAATAAAATCCAAAACATTGTATTGGGTTTACAATGATAATATTTATTATTATTTTTTGTTTTTTCGTGGACAATTATTCTACTTGATATTTTGCTCAGATTTTCAAGTGAAGTACCTTTTCCGAAAGAAAATTTTAACTGGATGGTACTTTAGAAACATTGTTTTTTTGATTTTCCGAGCGGTTTTCATAATAATAGAGAATAACCGGAAAAAAAGGGAAAATTTAAATACATGTATAAAAATAACTCCGTTCCGAATCGTTTTTCATTAACAATGGTCGGTCGTTGCGTATAAACCGAGTTGAATTTTCCTCCTATATCCTACCTTCCCAACTACTGGCCTACAACAGTGGTCCGCCAGTGGTGCAAAGTATGTCCCATTGTTTTTTTATGCATGTTCCCGAACGATTGTCGATACGTCGTCGTCGACATCACGAGGCGCCGTTTTTTTTTTTTTGCGCCCTTTCATAAGAAACGACGTCGAGCTGCACACTTTGCGTACTATACAACACACTATTTCGTGTCCTGTTGAGCGAACGTCAACTACGGAGTTGGAAAAAAAAACGATCGCGTTTTACGACGTTTCGTAAGCGATTACGAAACGTGACGCCCGCGGAAAACGTCCCCGCCCACCCGATCAAAGCCCGCGCCGTCCCTGATAAACGCCGCGGCACGACGACAATAATAATAATATTACGCGATTTTGTAAGCAAATACCCGCAACTGTATATAATATATACTATAGCGTATTATAATCAGATATATACGCAGAAAAAAAAAATAAAAAATAAAAAATATTAATACCAATAAAAAATACGCGGCGGAACTCGGCGGAGCGTGTCCGTCGCGCGCACACAAAAGATATCCCTCGGGGTTACGCCGCGCTCGCCGTAGAAATATAATTTATCGCGTATTATTTTTAAACAATTTTTTTTGTTTTTTTTTCAAGCGCTACCTATTCCTGTACCGCGGTTACCCGTATAATTAACGCGGTGTGTCGTGCCTGGGCAATTAAGTCGCGTGATTTCGGTCGACGACCCTCCGCGCGCACCGAGGGCGCGGAAACGACCTTGGAACACGCGGCCAACGCGATAATAATAATAATAATAATAATAATAATAATAACATATTAGGTACACGGAAAATGTATATAACTAATCATTAGGCGCGGAAAATTCGCATGATACGGCCGTTTGTGTTTTTAGAACGTTTCGCCGTTTTCGACCGATTGGCGAGGCGACCGCAGCTGCAACATTACAAACGCGATTATTACGGACGGGCCGACAACGAACCGTTCCGGCACGGCGAAAATGTTTGATAGAAAATCCGCGGACGTACATCGTCATTGCGCCGTTGTAGACACCTATACCCGTAATGTTATTGATACTGTTGTATAGATTTACGGAAAATCGAGAAAGGGTAGGTGTATACGGAACACAGAAAAATGAACGAACGGCAATAAGGCTCTGAGCGGAGTCGTGATGGTAAACCAAGCGGGGTAAGGTATGCAAATGTTATATCAATTAGGAAAAATTATTCGAATAATAAAGTATCGTCGATCGGGAAGTCGGAAGATTTTTACCAACCGAAAAAACACACATACTTGGGTAGGTATATCATGGTAAAACATAATATACAATACAATTTACCTATTAGTTTCGCACAGAATATAAATATATATTTAAAATAATACATATAAAACGTATTATTTACGCTCGTATGGTAAAAAAATAAAACTGCTGATGGGTGTGCCACTTTTTAAGGAAATAAGATACACCGAGTAATTCAATTTAATTTACATCTATAAGCAACGAATAAACGAAAACCTATTCTGAGCAGAGTATTGTTGGTCGTGTTTTTTCCCTTATTGTTGCCATAATAACCCAGAGTTCAACAAAAATTACCAGTTTTGCCAGTCTGTTAAAAATAAAACTAAGGGGAGAATTAAAAAATGACCTTCTTGACGGATATATACCGATTGGATCGAAAATGCTTGCAGGAAACTTCCTATAGAGTTTTCGATCGGAGCAACAGTTCCGGTAGAAAAGTCGTTTGCACGCACAAAAACAATAATTATAACAATAATAGTAAAACCAATACCGTCGTTTCGTTCAAAAATCCGAAATAATAATACCGTTGTGCATTCAAACGAGCGCGTGTCCCCACGTTTTCGCGTGATTCCTGTGCGCCGCGGCGGCGGCGTGCAGCAGACGGCAATCGAACAATTTAAGACGGCTAATATATTTAGGACAAAACGATTACTTATTATTGTTGTTTATGACATCGGTGGCGGCCGAGGCTGTAACTGGACCGCAATACTGATATACGACACACGCGTATAATAATAGTCGCACACGATTCATGATAGTGTATAAAACGAGTTTGGCATCGTATGCGACGTAAATGGAAATCGGATATAGTACCTATATACGAACAAGATATGTGTAAAAATGCACGCGGAAAAGCAAATATAGCGCGGACATGATCATTGGCCGTAGACATAATATTAATAACATGTAATTAAAAACTAGGTTGCGAACCGGCGATAAAACGCCAAGTTTCGATCGGCCATTTCGTTCCGGGCCCATGGATCTTATCGTCCGTTTTTATATTATAAACAATTGTGATGATAATTGGATGATAAGTCCGTGTGCATAATATATTAGTACGACGATGGTACGAAAAGACACGTACACCAGTGTTGTCATTCATCCGCAATTTACAAAACAAATACGATAAGAGCCGCGGGCGTCGCGAATCGAACAGCTGCGACTTCAACAGAAAGCATTATAATGGTGAGGTATGGGACAACCCGGTTTATGTAATACCACATATTTGCAGTAGGTGGTTACGGCTAATATGTTGAAAATCCGTTAGTGTCGAATTTTCGATCAATAAATTGTGCTGTTGACTGCAATACTGAGGGTAAAATTTACCAAACCTTAAGGAATGCTCTACGTTTGTATGTACATTGGTTTTTACGATATATCTAATATTATTTTTAAGCGAGATACAAATAGATTTTTAAACAGCAATATTTCACATACTCGGTTAAAAACAAAACTATCGAGGAATAAAAAAAAAAAAAAAAAAAAGCGTATAAACACGGACAATGTTTTCACATTTAAGTTTGATAATATGCCTGAAACGGCATGAAACTGATTCTGCCGGACGAAATTGTTGTTATTATTTGGTTTTAATGATAAACCGTAACATATATTATACGGAGGTTATAGAAATCTGTGCCATAGATAATTATATAGAAATTATAAATGGACGGACCACAAAACGCATCGTCTACGGATAAAATCGTCGAAAAAATAACCTAGTTAACAGCAGATTTTTATCTTTTACGTCGAGATTGTCGGGAAGACTTTTGCGGGTATTGGACGGACGTTATGAGTCTAGAACGTAGTCGTCGACCTTTTAAAATATAATGTACACCGTCATCAATCCGATATTACAATATCGTCGTTGCCTAATAACAACGGCGCGTAAAATAATAGTACGCACACAGAACGTAAAAACCTCGGAATAAAAATAACTTTTTGCCGCGGAACAAATGACGACGACCGCTTGTGCAGTTTGCATCTATCGCGCGTCTATTGTTTCTCGTTGTAATTTTTTATTATTATTTATTTTTTTTTATTCTGCCGTTGGTTCTTTTTTTTGCACTCGTCTACAATTAGCGTCGGCCGGTTTTACAGAGAGAAAAAAAAAAACGAGAAATAAAATACGCCAACATTTAATACGCGATCATATTATTATTATGTAAAACACGGCCGCCACAATGGTCGTCGTCGTCGTCGTCGTCGTCGGCCACACGCATGAGTTATGGTGGACGCGAAGTGGAAGCGAAGGGTTTTCTCGAAGGCAAAGGTGGGGGGATAAGGTTGTCAGGGGTAAGGGGCGAACGGGGGGAGGGGCACACCATTAAAGCCAACAACAGGTCAATACGTTGTGGGAACTCGTATTACTACGACTGTATATATAGTGTGTGTGTGTGTGCGTGTGAATGTATGAATGTGTGTGTGTGAGTGTACACGCATAATATTATTATACACGATATGATTATTGTCCCGCGCGGAGGAGGAAAGAAATAATAATAAAAAAAAAAAAAACACCGGAGAGAGACTGCAGAGAGCGAGAAGGTACTTATGTATTATATCGTGGCGCCAAACTTGCAGTCTGAACAATGTTACCGCTCGTGTATATCTGTACGTATTATTTTTTTTTTCGTCCGCTTTCAGTCTCGGCTCTGTATATATAGCCGGCTGTTATTATTATTATTATTATTATATTACATTATACATACGTAGTAGGTAAGCGTACCGTGTACGCGCCACCGTCAGAGTATTTTATTCCTCCCGCGCCACTGCTGCGGGATCGTGCCGGACCGTCAGTTACTGGTCCGCGTATTATATTATATTTATACACACGCCCGCGCACGTATGAAAATGTATAAATCCCTTCTTACGAGGACGGCCCTGCTCGCCCGCCGCGAGTGTAAATCCGTTGCCGGATACGTGACTGGAAATCGTGACAAAGGGCGTACATTCGGTACCGTACAGTACGTAACTCGTACATTATAGACACAGTGCCGCGGTCGTATACCTATATATATATATATATACAATATTGTATACCGAGCGTTTCTCGAAGACCGAGGCCGCTAAAATATATAACCCCCCCCCTGTCCCCCGTCCACCGTGTGTATAATACGCGGTTCTCCTGAAAGCTCTGCGGGCCGCCGGCCGACCGGAAAGGTCGATTTCGGCTTTTGCCGCGCGCCCCCTTAATAAACGAATGCGTACGCGACAATAATTTATAGGGACATTTTTTCCACGGACACGGTCCGGCGGCTGCAGTGGCGGCGAAAAGAAAGCGCCGCGGCGGTCCATTTCCCGTTGTACGTGCAGCCGTACGCGCGTATAATGCGCAAGTGGCCGCGGTGTACGGTACGCGCGTGTCGGCGAGTGTTCAATTATATCGTGTGCGGCGTGCCGCCGGTAAAATGTGTTATTTTTGCGGGTAAGGGGCGCGCGCGTGCGGGAAAAGGCGTGAACCGGAATAGCGGAAATAACAGCCCGAATTGATAATACGCGAAACGGCGTTTTGTCGTCGCGAGTGTGTCCGTAGCGTTTTCGATCGGAACCCGACGGCGGTCCGGACAAACACTCGAAAACCGCGCGCGCGAACCGTTCAAATCCAATATGTACCGGGTACGACGTGTTATCGTTTATCGCCTCCGGGGCTACACGCGTAATTGTATTGTTGTTCGCGGGGACGCACGCGTTTTGTTTTATTTATTTTTTCTACGCGCGACGACGATAACAACACACGACGGTTTGTTTTTCGAAACGACACGGTTAAATATATATATATATATATTATTATGTACAGTGAGCGGCGGGGGGGGGNNNGGGGGGGGGGGGTTGTGTGTGTGTGTGTACGTAAACTCGATGTGTTTTGTAATGAACGCGCCGCACGACAATAATAACATAATACGGAATTGCGCGCGTTGCGAACGTGTTCCGCGTCCGCGTTCGATTTTCGGCAAAACAATTCGACACCACGGCCGTTGTATCCGGGTTCGCGGATATCCGGAACGCGGGGAGCGGGTATTGCGTACGACCTCGTCCCGAATTTCACCGGTCCGACCGCGAAAACCCACGTCGGGACCGACTTCATCGAGCCTGACCATGCGTTCGGTAAAAACCGAGTTCCGAAATTCGCGACCGTGTACCTATAACATGAGAAACGGAGCGCGCGTGCGGACGGACGGACGCGCACAAATCAGTAAAATCGCTTAACGCGGAGAGAAGTTCCGAGTCTGTAAAACGGAAACGGTCGAAATATTTTATTTTAAATTTTTCGGTTTTTCGGTCGAAAGTACTACGTACAAAATATATATTAAGACCATATTGTCTGGCGTGAATTTTAGATCGTAGGACTCGGCTGGTGCGAATGAGTTTTGTTCGCGAAGAATCCGGAATCTGTATTGTTAAAACGTGAATAGCGAATAATCTCTGTATTATTATGATGTACCGATTCGAATTACGCATGCATTTTTAAACACGATAGTATCCGGTATATAAAAGTTTCGAATGCGAAAAATGCGAGAAGTTCTAAACGTCACCCCTTAAAAAAGGGGTTGCTAGCAGACCCGAGACAGAAATATATTCCTTACTAACGATTATATCACTGATATAACCCGCTGGGCCGAATTACGGCCACAGTCAGCGGGGAGCTATAATATTCTAGCTATACTATATTCTTAGAGAACCCCGCACGAACAGTTATTTATTCTTTTGAAATTCGAATTTCTTAACATTTATTCGACGGATGGTTGTTCAGTATTGAAGAGTATAGTATATCGCAAAGTATAACATGTAATGGAATTTTCAGAAAAAAAAAAAAAAATTAATAATAATACGACTCGGGGGGTTGATCGCTGAACGCGTTGACGAACGTTTCGTATAAATGTCCGTCGAGCAGTAACGCCGCGACATAAAAATCAATATTTCGAAAAAAATATTTTTAAATTCGAACATACGAGCGAAAAATCCGCATCTATTAAGTCGCGAAATCGATACAGCGCCGGAGTGCGTTTACTGACCAAAAAAAAAAAAAAAACACCACGTCTCTTAGCTCGTTCACTGCTATACGCCCGGAATCTAAACGAATCGAAAAGGAAAAACACGATATTCCCCCATGACCCATAGACCGCGCGAAGTATTCATTCGTCGGGTGGGCGTAATTGAAAATTATGTATTTTCGCCGGAATACATTTGCGATACGCGCTATTGTCGCTATTACGCAGGCCCCCGATTAAGGGTCGTAATTAATTAGGGGACTCATTCTATTGACGCGGAATACGAATGGGCGGAAAAAAATATGATTCCCGATTTAACCCGTAATGATGCGCGTGTCCATTGCGGGCCCGTCTGCCCCGGCCCCGGCCCCCGATCCGGGCGTCGCACCGTTCGGTGTCCGTGCGCGATGATAAATCGGCACGCGATAATATTCCGGAAACGCTTACGCGAATCGAACGGCGACGACGACAACGAAACAGTCGACAGTGTCGCGGCGCGCGCGCGGCCGGCACCTACCGCGCGAGCGTTCACTACGACGGAATTAGGGTCGGACGGTAATTTACACGAAATATCGACGCGTCACGGCGCGGCCGGCGGCGGCGGCGTCGTCCGCGTGCAACGGGTTAAGTGTGTGTTATTGTTTTCGACGTCGTCGTCGTCGCACGCGCGCGCAATACGCGCTGCAGACGGTAGCGTATACGATAATAACAATAATAATAATAATAATAATACGTGTCAGTGGGATAACGTATCAATCAACCGCCGCGTCGCCGCGCGCATCGCGTACGCGTATAATACGTACAATACGAGCCCGGGTTATACGCTCTGTGCGCGAACACATACACACACACGCCCATTATATATATATTATTATCGTCTCCCGCTCCCTCCGCACTCCCCGCGCGTGTTTATATACATATATATACCTATACCATACACGCACAGACTCATTGATATAAAAGATGCTCGTGTTTATATTCATCAATCCACCCCTCGTATACGGTTATTTTTCACGCGGCGGCGTTCACTACCCTCTTTATACTCGCGCGTGTACGTATATATATATATGTGTACGTATAATATAATATATAAAGTCATAAGCTTCTCCTCTTTATTTATTTTTTTTCTCTCCCGCCGTTCCCCGGACGCGCGCGAAAAGCCCTCGTCTCACTCGGCGGGCCGCCGCCGCGCCGTCAATTTTCCGCTCGTTAATGAAGCCTCCGCCCAGGCGGTTGCGGTTCTCTCGTGCGCGTACACACACACACACACACACACACATACACGCACGCGAGCACGCACGCACATATATCCGTAGGGGGCGCGTGCGCCGAACCAAACGAGTAGGGTGTATACATAGATATATACACGGTACACACACCCGATATAATAGCGGCGGTATATATATATATATTTATACATACATACAGAGCGCGCGTATATAAAGAGAGAGCTGCCGCACGGTTCGCGAAATCACCGCCGCCGCCGCCGCCGCTATACCGCACTTTCCCGCCCTACCGCTCCTACCCGCCCACCCACCCCCTCCGCGATAAATCACGTCTCGCGCCGATTTCCGCCCCCTGCCGCGACGGCGGCGTCGTCCCCTTCGGTTAACCGGAGGCTGTGGCGGCGCGGCGGGATCGGATTGATTTATGAACGTTGCTGCACTTCGCGCGCCAAAGCTTCTTCTCTCGCCGCCCCGCCGGAGTTTATATACACGCCCGCGATCGTATAATATAATAGCAGCTAGTCCTTTGGGCCACTGCTCAAAAAGGCTTTTTATTTATATACACATATACATACTTACACACACAAGCCGAGCACACCCCAAATAATCGAATATAATTGATACCGGATTATATGGGCGACTTGACTTATGGTACCGCGTTAAAAGGGCCATTAAAAAAAAAAAAAAAAAAAAAAAAAGAGGAAAAAAAAAAAGACGCGGCGTAAAATTACCGTCGAACAACACGGGCGCGCGCGACGATGACGTGTCTCCGCGGCGCCGGATAAACGCGACAAATTAAAATACATCGAAATACACGCGACACAATTTATAATATAAATGACACGCGTGCGATTAATTATTACCATTATTATATTAAATATAATTATATTATTACTATTACTGTCGTTATAATTATATTATTATTGTTGTCGTTGTCGTTGTTGCCGTTGTAATACGCGCGGTTGACGAGTGCGAACCAATGGTTTAATCGCGTGTCGTGAAAAATTTCCGACTGCGGCGATAACCATCGCAAAACATCGTATTATTATACACTTAGACGAATAATGATCGCCGCGCATTATACGGTTCGGGCGCCTACAGCAATACTACGTAACGAAAATAAACTCACCAAGTGCGGGTAGAACGACGACGTGTCGATGCTCGGGTACGGGTTCTGGTCGGTGGACGGGTACGGCGCGTACACGGCCGTCGTGGCCGGCGTGCTCCGGTGGCTGGCGTAGTGCGGCGGCAACGACGCGGCCGCGGCCAGCTGACAAGAGCACACGGCCACGGCGGACTCGGAACCGGCGCGGTCGCCCGCCCCGGCGCCGGGCGCCCCGGCCGCGGTACAGCACGTGCCGCAGCCCGCGGCGCCCATGACGTCCGGCGACAGGCCGCCGCCACCGCCGCCCGCGGCCAACGGCGGTGACACAGACTCTCCCGTCATTACGCTCTGCGAAAACAAAAACAAAAATCGTCATTATTACGTCAATGTGTACGCGATAATAGCTTGCGCAAAATTATTATTTGCAATCGCGCGTTGGGAAAAACGGTATAATGGAAAAATCCTAAAACGTCCTAAAAACGCACGTTTTCCACGACGTTATTATCACTCCTCGTCCCCCTTCGGTCATCCCGACACGGTTTTTACGTTGTATTACATCGACGATGAGAATAGCAGCAACACTGCATGAGGATCGAACATTTTCAACTTTCCAGTTTCAAGGTTTCTATGTCCCCGTGTTTTTTTCTCTCGTAGTGGCGCGATCTATGTAATCGCGTTATTAAATTTCGATTGGTGAAACAGATGACTTATTGTACCGAAACCGATACCTGTATATAGTTAGGGACTGGCGGAGGCGATAAAGCCGTAAAACGCGACGCGGCCTTCTCGCGTAAAAAAAAAAAAAAACCACGTGCGAACGAATTCGCACCCCGCGGTCAATGAAGTCCTGTAGTTGTTACGGAACGTTTACGCGTTTCGAAATACGGCTCCCGACGTGCGCGGCGATATTATAAAAACAATTGCTACACCGATAATATTATGTTCGAACGGCGTAAAACTAATTATGTTTTTTATTATTTTTTCGCGTACCGTTACGTATACGGCTGCAGCAGAGTTATTGTAAAACGATCACGCCGGACGACCGGAACGTTGAACGCCAGAGCCGTCTTCGGGGTTGGGTGGGGGGGTGGTTGGCGAGGACTGCGGGCGAACGGGTCTCGGGCCTCCCGGAGAACGGTAAACGGAACGCGGGGGTCTCGCGCGGCGAAACCCGAACGCGAAATAAACGAACGGAAACTGATACGCGTTTCGTAATATTAAACGCGTCGCCGCCGTCACCCGCGCGCGCCCGCTATTACGTTATTACCGCGGCGGGCGACGACGTCGTTACTCGCGCGCCGATAGGCGACGGGCGAGGTGCGCGCGCGTATTGCGCGTCTGCGCTGCCGCGGTGTGTGTGTGTGTGTGTGCGCGCGCGGTGTCTTCGGGTGTCCGCTGTCGCGCGGCATAATCGTTTTAATTGGCCATCCGATACGGAGACGCGGGACCGGTTATTGCGCGAGGTGCGAACCCGAAAGCGCTTCGCCGGGCTCTCGTGTGAAACGTGTACGCGTCCGCGCGTCATTTCGATAATACCGTGAAATATGATTGTCATTATTATCGCCGTCGTCGGTGTTGTACACACACGTGTGTACAATCGTATCGTATTGTGTTTGGCGCGCGGCAATACGTGTAATGTTGTCGTGGTCGTCGTCCCGACCGCGAAAACCGATAGACCGGAACGGCGGCCGCCGCGGCACGCGGGCCCGCGCGTACTTGTCGCGCACGCATTACGCGCAGCCACGGTCGGGCCGCCGCCGCGGTGCCGAATTCGACGGCGCGTTCCGTATCGGTTGCAGTTTTAAATAATTCGCGCGACGGTCGAGCGGAAAACGGCAAATAATAATAAACGACGTCCGTCGTATAATAACGTACGGAAATCGAATAAATAACAATGTCATAAGCACCGTGTTCCGGGGTCGATTATCGCAAAAAAAAAAAAAAACAATAGCGTTATCGTATTCCGCGCGGTGCCGAACTCGCGATTAGCGCGAAAACGCGACCGCGACAACGAGGCGACGTCCGGCGGTGGACGACAACGACAAAACACACACTTTTGCGCAATATTTATACGCCCGGACAGTGGCGGCTCGCAGTATTTTTACTACCATGAATCGCCAACAGAATATCTACATTTTTAATGCGTTTCCCTACGAACGTAATAAACTACTAGAAAAATATAAAATACCCCGTGTACAGGGTGTCACATACAGTATACTCTCAAACGAATTAACGGGAGCGTCACTGCGTAATAATAATAATTTATACGACGCGTCGGTTTGTTAGATACTGATTACTTGTCATCAAACGAGAAACGTATTGATTCGACTGTTACGTGTTTTTTTTTTTTGTCCGGTGTCTGTAAACAACTTGTTTACCTGCGAAACCTGAGCTCCGATCGAACATTTTATGCGAACATTCTTGTAACGGTTTTCGATCCAGATTGTCACGTTTGTAATGCCATTTTTTTTTTCATTTCCCTAGTAGTTTTCTCGACAAAAAATTACCCGTTTTCGTTTGTTCATTAAGGAAACTTCAAGGAAAATTGTAAATTGACTTTCCCGACGTACTAGATCAAACGTACTATGAGAAAATGCATAGAAAGTTTTTGATCGTGGAGAGAGATTTCTGATAGAAAATCCTTTACAGAAATATAAAACCAACGCGTCTAAAAACGTTTACCGAAACAAAGTAAATTTCGTCTACACACGGTCGCATAGTCGTTCAAAAAATGTTTTCTTCTTCTTTGCCTTTATCCCGACTATTAGGAATATATGTAAAATTATGCAGATGTGTAAAATGTTTTCCCCATACATGATTATCATTTGACCATAGAAAACCCGTCGACATTTGACGGCTGCCTAACCACCATTGTAATTTTACCGGCACGAATCGACGGCCGCCAGCAGCGAAGTATGTTATACATAGGTAGAAGACATTTATGATTTTATATATTCTATATATTCTATTATTCTATATATTCTATATATACGAGACTTTTATGAGAGCTTATGGACAGACATTTCTACACTATCGGGTTAACCTCGGACGTCCGCAATTCTCGAGGAGTAAATCGATATTATCGATATTCGGCGAGATCGTACACCGAAAAATACAAAATCATATTCACTTAGCAACGCGCGCGTTACAAATACGCTCACACGACGAACGGACGGCCTTTATCCTACGATCAAAAGCCCTCGGACCCTCCTATTTCGCCGAGTCTGACACGAACCGCCCTCGGTACAACCCGAGAGGACCCCGCCGAATTGATCAGCTAAAACGGTTCGCGTCCATTCCAGACCGTTTTTTCACAACACCGAGCAAGGGCGCCCGGGTTTTTAAAACTTCACTGTGGGGGGGGGCTCACTAGATATACTCGTATACTGCAGCAATTTTACCCGACACTCCCCGTGTATATTTCCTCGTGGCCCCGCGGTTCGTTGATTTCAAGGAGCAACCCCGAGCCCCCACCCCCCTCACACGGCGCCCCCAACGGCGAGTAACGACATTATCGCGCGCGCACGTGTAATGTTTGTGCGTGCGAGTGCGTGCGTGCGCGCGCGTGTGTGTGTGTGTGTGTGTGCATGACCCCACGAACAATTAGCCGTTGTACGCCGCCCGGTTTTTTTTTCGTCGTTTTCCTCTGCGCTAAAAAATAATAACCAACTCGAACCACGGTTTTATAATATTATTATTATTTTAAACGGATATAAAAAAAAAAAAAAAAAAAAAAAAAAAAAACTATGGGGATACACACTCGTCGCCTATATATACCGAGTAGGTACCTACAATATGTTTATATATATACGGCCCGAGACACGCCGGTAAAAAAACGGCGGCGGCGGCGGCGGGTGCTTGACGTGGGGGCGGCGGCAGAGGGGAGGGGACGTAATAAAATTCTATAATTTATACGCACGCAGTAACAATTCATAAATATTTATGAACCCGTTTTCGTGGGCTACACACACACACACACACACACACACACACACACACACACACACACACACACAACACACACACATACAAACACACGCACACTACAAACCACCTCCGTGTATATTATATACGCGTATATTATCGTGGTACCTATAATACGCGTATACACAAGCGATGCGCGTTTGATCGTCGAACTGATAACAGCCATTATTACGGTTTCGAATATATATACATACGCGTGTATATTATTATAAGCGCACACGCGTATTTTGTATATATATTTTTTTTATTTTCATTTTTTTTTGCATTTTATACTTATAAAAAAAACTCGCGTACTTACGACCGTACACGTATGATAACGCGCGTATACGTCCTACGTATTACAATCTCGTGTACCGTGTATATTACATTATTAATATATTATACATAGTCGCCTGCTACTATTACACACGATATAATATATAATATATTATTATCGTGTATACATTATATTCCTATACATCGTGATAATAACGCGGCGTTTTCCGTTAATTAACATTATTTTCGTATGCATACAATACAATGAGACCTATGCACACATGGGAGAGTCGAGAGTACTCGATGTCGCCGTCGCCGTTTTAATTGCGGGCGAGCGACAGCGAATATTTCGCCGCCGCCGGGTTATCAATCAAAATCCTCGGCGTAAGGGAAAACTCGTGTTTTTCGGCCCCGGTTCCTCTATATCGCTTCAATATATTATGCAATAATATAGCCTCACGCTACAGTATAATATACGTAGGTACTGTCGCATTGTATAATAAACAAGTGTCAAAACCCGCGCACGCGTCGACGACGATAATAGGGCCACCGCCGCCCTCCACAAGCCCCCGAGAAGAATATTACGTAAATGTATAGGTAGAGGTGGGTGCTATAAAATATAATATAATATTATAAAATATCGTTTCTCCCCCTCCCCCTCACCACCACCGCAGGTCTTTTTTTTCGGGCGGAATATTTCCGGTAGACGCGCGGAAAAGAAAGTGTCTCGTATTTATTTATATTTTCCAATCTAACTGGCCGAGCTCTTACCGAGAGACGAGAGATAGAGGGATGGGAGGGACACGGAGATAGACAGAGAGAGAGAGAGAGAGAGAGAGAGCTGTTGACACATTGTTTACATACTTACCGTCCCACACGACATAAACGAAATAATATACGAGCTTATTGTTGGAAAAATAATATGGAAAAAAAAAACGTTGACAAGATTATCGTACACACTGTATACGTATTATACGCATAGTCGTTTTTACGATTATTTATTATATTAATATATTACACTTTTTTCCTTTTTTTTTTTTCCGTCCGCGACTCTCCTCTACTCGACCCGACGCGGTTATATTCGTGGCACTACACCGTTATCATCGCCGCCGCCCACCCAAAATAATTCATTTACGCCGAAAACTGTATTATGCGTCTGTCCGATATGACAGCGACACGATCGTATTTGTTTATTAATATCATAATAATATTAATAAATCGCATACGGCGGAATCCGTTTGGAAACTTTATACGGAAAGCTAATAAAACGTTTTCGAAAATCATGGGGGGAGGGTAGAGGCCACGGGCGTAGTCCGTCCACCGCCGTCGTGTACTCGTCGTTTACGCGCGTATAAAAAAAACCGTCCGTCCAAAACGAAAACTCAAAACGTACATAAATCGTTGAGTCCGATTCTGTCGAATTCGACTTCAAAGGAAGGAGGGGGGGGTCCCTGCGGAAATCCGGCTTCGAAAATGGCCCCGGAACGCGCGTATCCGACGGATTTCACGTACGTCACGACTGTGACGGCTCGAAAGGGGTACATTTGAATCACGTGATTCACGAAAAACCGGGCGGTTGGTTGTTCGGAAATACGACAACTGCACTAATATTATGGTTTTTGCAAAATAAAATTGATTAAAAGAATTTTAGACCGTGAAAATTTGATAGAATTTATTGGAATTCGTTAAATTTTTTTTTAAAGAAAGTAAAAACACACCGAGCCGTCACTGCATCGTGAGATATTATAATAACAATAAAGTAATATTATCACCTGTGGACCGTGAAAAGCTTCGACACCGGATCTTTCGTGCGCATTATTGTACACACGCTATACGAAAAACTTACTCGCAGCAGATGCACACATTGTGTGTTGAAGAGTACGGGAATGTTGCAATTAGTCACATCGCTGAGGCCGTACAGACGTACTCGGATTGCGACCTTGTCGCGTCAAACCGACTCTCGAGCAAAACGACCTTTACAGTAGTATTATACGCTCGTATCGACGCCTAAACGATTCCGTTTCAGTGGCGGAAAGTGCCTATGATTTATGAGGGGGGGGGAGGAAACACGAGAATGCGCGGTAAGTATAACACTATATACTTACTATAGAGCCACGACGTGGACCCGTCGTCATATGTATTTTATAAATCGTGCGAAAAACGACGAGATTATTTGAATGGCGTTACTTACAATCCGTAAAATTTGAAAATCGCGATTTTCGTTCAACTAGGTGGGAAAATCATCCATTCAATTCATTCGTTTAAACATTTACGTTTTTCATTTAAAAATTCTAACGGTAATACGTTTAGACGGAAAGACGGGGAAAAGTCTGAAAACGAGGTGACGTGGATGCGATCGTGAACGCGGATATGTGATCGGCGGGTGAACGCGCGGTAGATGATGCGTGGGTTCGGGTAGAGTGGAAATTGGGTGGCCGACCCCCGAATAGTCGGGCGAAGGAGAAGAAGAGATTTGAATATTGTATATTAATAATTTCGATTTTAATCGGGAATTACGCGTTCGGCGGTTCGTATATTTTCATAAACCATTTACGATATCACTTTCACACTGTTTCGTACTTATGTACAGGGATGAAATAAGGCAGGCATTTAAACGCACTTGTTTTTTTTTTTTTTTTAAACATGTTTTTTTCATTCTGTCACTTTTTGAACGACGACACTTATACGGACGCACCATATTATATATTCCAGTAAAATAGTCAGAGGGTATACATAATGTTTTGCTAACGGAAATCGGTGTACAGATTCTTTGGTAATCGCGGACATTTTATACGAATTTTAATCGTAATCATTGGCGAAATCTCGATATTCTGGAATCCGATACACACAACATTAATCAGTGATTTGTCGTCCGATGATATTATAACTGTTAACTAAAATACGAAAATTAAACCGAATATATTACACTTGTGTATACGTATAAATAACGAAAATATGCGGGCTACGATATAATCTGCCACGACGGCGGTAATAAATCCGGATAATTAGATGTCCATTGTATATGTATATAGAGTAATCCTCGCGCTAAAAAATAAAAATATTTTAATTATAAAACATACGCGCGATGCAATTAAAAACAATACGAACAAAGTGTACGAACACGTGAAAATACTTAAACCGTATAGCGAAACGAACCGCATATAATATATCTTTGATCACAGGGAAGAGGGGCTGAAGTGAATTTTTTTTTTATGGATAATAAAATTTTTAACATACATTTATCAATTTGTCTAATGAATCAAAGTTGTTTCCGCTCATAAATATTTTAAAAATTAGTGCATTTAGTGTGCGTAGTGTACATCCAAAATTTAATTTGCTCGTATTGCGAACGGCTATGCATGTCGAGTTACTTTAGTTATGTATTGTTTGCAAACTGTACGAAATCGACTTAAGTCCTTGTTTCCTGAAACCGAATATATATTTCACGAATCGTCTCGAGAAACTTCCACTCGGCCCCGACGGCGACGCTGTATAAACACGTCGGTAAGTCGCGTATTATTGTTACGATCGAAACAATTACTATACTGTTTCGTGTCTGTACATTACCGTCAGACTATCAATATGTATAATCAAAATGTATGATGTTTTACTCGCGCAACCGCAAATTCGAAAATATATTTATTTTTCCGTGGTTTCGTCCGGATAAGATAATCTTAGATATAAGATTATCGTCTGTGCGCTATTTCCCCCGGTTTTGGATGCTCGTCTGCAGTTCAACGGTTTTTTTTTTATCATTTTTTAATAATAATGTTTCTGCCAAAGGAATGCATTTTCTAACCGCCTATATACATCCATTATAATATAGCTGACCGTTGAAAAAAGTTTTCGAGTTCTTCGTCTATATGTGCGATTTTTCTACAGTGCGCTCAAATCGGTAAAACAAAAGAACGGTTATAATAACTTATAAACAGTATGAAATATATTTAAAAAAAAGTACGAGACTCGAAAAAATTACTCCTTTCTCTTATAATTATACGACAGTTACGATTGAAATTGACCTTACCGCGATTACGGTATTAATATTAGTAAAGAGGTAGTATAGGTACGCTTTAATGTCTGTAAAAATTATCGGGGTAGGTACTCCGCGTGATTTCCCCTATCGCGGAGTACGGCCCCGTATACAATATTATCACGGAGGCTTATTTACTCTCGATGACCGTCATTCTTTATGATTTGTAGGGTTTTTTTTTTTTTTTTGGAAACAATTTGTTAACGTGTACTAAAATAATAAGTAGTAATTATACCTCATAAACGTATCGTCCAAACGCCGAACTCGTATATAATAATGTACCGACCGCCGTCCATTATGCGTGACATTAGCGTTTACAAAAATAATATTTATAGTGGTAAAAAAAACTATTAGGAATCGTCGTATTAAACCTAATAATATTGACTCGTCGTCGGTAGATCGATCGTATCTGCATTCCGTGTTATGGCCTCAATGTGATTTTATTACCCGTCTATAACGTCGTCGTCGTCTCGTTTCGACGAGGTTCAACTATAATATAATAATAATAATATCGTCCGTGGCGTTGTTTTTTTTTTTTTTTTTTATCTGACCTAAGTGTATCGGGTACTATTTATAACGTGTATACATTATTCCGAAAAATCTAAATTTATATAATTTAGGGTCGAAAATGACGGGTTATCGGGTCATCATAATTATTAATGTACGCCCGCAACTGCACAGTAATATACCTATACATTTTTTGCTTTCCAGTAATTTCGGATTAGATTTGAAAAAAAAAAAAAAATAAAAAAACCGTAGGCGCGTAAGTGTAGGTACCTACCACTATAAAATGTTTTACGGGTAACCTAACCGCCGAACGCTACACGTGTAAATTACCGAACGCTACACGCATACGTAATAAGACTTTTTTTTTTTCTTTCGGTAATATACATTTTTCATATAATACAGGTACACGCGGATGTTATACACCATGTAGTTATACCTAAGTTTATTACGAAATATATAAAAAAATGTATTCAACAAAACGTCCTGTATAAACACCGAATTATTCCTATACCAGAATAATTATTAATTTATTAACTTTTCGTTCGTAAAAATCTATATGTATATAGGTACAATCGAAACGAGACATTCACGATGTATACAAACGTATTAAGTGTACAGGGGTCGCATAATGCGGCGTACGCTTTTGTTATGTCGACAAACGTCGTAAACAAAAGCAAAAATACCGATACGAAAAATCAGGCCCGCTTTTTAATATTCGCGTATATCAGTAATTATACAAACAGACCGTATTATTATTAATAGACTAACGTTGTAACAGTTGAAGGTGTCGAAGGTTTTCCAAACGTTTTCGCAATTATGTTAAATATTTTAAAACATTACTTTTTAAACATTTTATGACCACGTCCTAACGATAAGACTTTACCGTTTATCTACAGCCCAATTACCTATACCACGGTCAAGGGGTACGGCCAATTTTCGCAAACAAATATGACGCTTTAGCCGGATATGTGGACGGGAAATTATAGACATACGTGCCAATTGTTTGAAGTATTGTTCTGTTGACAAATTGCCTATGTTGGTTTTTTTTAGGGGGGTCGATTTACGAACCAATGCGATTCGGTATTTTCGTCGAATAACGTATAATTTCGGAGATCTTCGAAACGGTAAACCGATTTACCGCGAAACTATTTCGGACAAACGTACTTTGAAAATTTGAATCGGACATCGGGAAATACTATTATATTATGATAATTGTAATTATTATTCCCGCCGGTTTTAAAACGTATACAATACGTATACGAGGAACCTGCAGACGCGACCGGCCCATTAATAATAATTAACAGTTATTAAATGATATTGCAATGATAATAAAATTATATTATACACGATAATAGCTGCGGTGTTTATTCGAATTGAATTCATCGTTAACAAAACACGAGCTTATTAGTGACGCGATGTACGTATAAGGTATACGTATGTATACCTATATACGTAATTATATTAACCGCACGAAAGAGATTGCCGAGGCTAATTAATTCGTTTCGTATACGTGTACAAAAATACCGACACGATAAAGGTATGTATAATGATATCAAATTAGGTAAAAAAAACGAAAAAAAAAATCAAAAAATGTATGTTATCATAAACGCGGTGGTTATTGACCACCGTCGATGTGCATATAGGTATTCTTATACGTATGCTGCGGCGGCGGCGGTCGGTTATAGGTCAATTTTTTTTTATTAACGATCGTCATAATAAAATAAAAAAGAAAACAACTTTATTGATTTACAATAATTATTTTGTACACCTATTATGTAGAATATCATCACAATGTATATTAGGTGTACGTGTGTAATGATAATATATTATATGGGTAATTTGTAAGAACACGAGTTTTATCAATATATATACATAAAATACCTATACATACTATTACCATGCACGCGTTCACATTATTGCGCTACCTATATATGCGCGTGTGCGGTATAAAGCGACCGTTCGTGTTTTGTTATTTTTTTTTTCACCCTACCATGCACGCGTTCACATTATTGCGCTACCTATATATGCGCGTGTGCGGTATAAAGCGACCGTTCGTGTTTTGTTATTTTTTTTTTCACCCGACACATAATATTATAAACTTTAATACGTCGATCACGATTTTTTTTTCGTTATTTTCTTGGATACAGTAACGTCGTATCCGCGGCGGGATACGCTCGTGTTCAGGCGTACGAACGTATTACATATCGCAATAGCCGTTTAAATACGCATATCTACGATTTCTAATGATTATTCAGAAAACGTTTACGACCGCGTCGCCGAAAATCCAAAAACAAACGCACTCGGATAGAACAGTATATATATAATATGTGAGTAGTCTCTATTCGTTCAGCCCGTTTAGTGGTCATAGTTAAATGGCCGTTCGCGTACGAGTATACAGGGTGTAACAGGACTATTTTTACATTGTAGTTACATGTAAAAATGTTGATATTATATAAAAACAGACGGAAAGCCTTTGAAAATATAATCGGTTTAAAAGCACAAAGCGCCCACTTGAAAATCATTTATAAACGGCAACATTAAGAAGACGATTTTCTTTATGATAATTTTTCGAGACATCGATTGTCTAAAAAGTTATAATAAAAAATATTTAAAAAAATGACAAAAAATATTTTTTTGTATCGAGTCGGATATACTCGAGCATAAATATACGGTGAACAACAATTGAAAAACGACTAAAACGCCGACGGGATTGTCTTCGAAATGTTGCAGTCTATAGTGTAGTACTTATTTCACAATAAGTTTTTCTGTCGTTAAAACGGATTTTTAGAGGACCGGAAATTTGTGCTGTTAGTTTTAAACATCAGAGCGAATTGACTGTAACGTAAACGTAAAAACATTAACTACTACGCGCGTGTTTGTACCTCGGCTTTTTACGCTACATTGATTATTTTATATGTGAGTTACGAGTACGTGAAACGTCACAACTTGACCGAGTAAGGAAAGCTCATACTATTATACGTACGAGCGACTTGAGTTCCCGGTTTCTAAATACGCACGTATTAATATACAGTTCCGTAAATACGATTCTGAACGGATATGGTATGTAACCCGGTGATTATGCGTAGAAACATAAATAAATTTAAAAAAAGAAGCATCATAACTTACCTGTTAAGGAGATTATCAGTGCCATAACGTCGGCTTTTTTTTTCGATAATTTAATTTTCAAACGAGATACGAGTAGGTATGTGAAACGTCGCGATTTAAAAACGATTGAATCTCGCTTTAAAATTTAAATACCGGTACAACATTAACGCTATACTATATATATAGGTATATGGTATATGTAGGGCACAGATAATCTTCTTACATTTAAGTTTTTGCCGGAGTTTCTGTATCCGTATTTATAAATACTAAACTAATGCTTCGATATTTAAATTTTTAAACTGTTTCGTCTGGGGCCCTGAACGGAGCGAAGCACGGCGAGTGAACGGAGGAAATCAATTGAAAATAAACCCCGCGATTTTTTACGCAAAACTGCGTCGGGTAGAATTTTATTTCGCAGGAAATGTACGTTTCTGAATTCAGCGTGACCGAGATTGAATTTTGACGATGTCTCGCGTTGTTATCGAAACCGGGAGTACCATGTTATAAAAAAATTATAACAATTATCGGTAAACGCGTGCGAAAGTCTATGTTTAAAATAATACTGTTAGAAAACCGCGGTCCGAACCAATGGTAACCTCGCGGCAGCGTTTGCAACGGCCGATCGAGGTGCGATAAATTATAACGACGGACACACGTTCTCCCGGCCCAACAAAAGTGATGATAAAATAGTAAAATAATAATTGAAAGGTCAAACCTGATTGGCTACGTAGACGAGACCTTTGTACGAAAACTATAATACTACGCAACAGTATGACGTATCGACAACAGAAATGCGGAAAAAATAATTTAAAAAAATCTCCGCCCGACACTCCCGAGAAAAATACCTAATAATAATAGTATTCACGATTGGTTCTACTCGTATATTTGTTGGTTTTTCTTTTAATAACTACTAAGGACATATTTTGTATCATACGGTAGCTACCTAAAGCTACGTATACATACTATTATAGCAGCTGATATTATCGTATCGCATATAAATGGTGTACAATAAATAACATGAGTAAGCGGATATTTTTTTAGATTCCGGGCGTATCGATCGGTTTTACAAATATGTCTTCGAGTTTGCGTGTGAGTTTTGTCCGCGTTTGTAAACAACTTTTCCACCGGAAATCTCGGTCCAATAAAATATTTTACGGGAACTTTCTCGTGGCGTATTCGATCTGGTCTGCGCATTTCGTGGACGTGTTTTTTTGATATTCCAGGTAGTTTCTAAAAACTGATAATTATTTGTTATGTCTAATAATCGCCATAGATAATAAAAACATGGTCGGACTATCCGCACCATTATCGGTGTTCCAATAGGGACGGGGTACAGTCTGTTATTCCAAATGTTTCATAAAATGAGGCGTTTTATTTATACGAATGATATGATGAATCGTCTCAGTTTTCCGCCGAGAACATCGCCTCGCTTACAATATTATTATAGGAGTGGTCTATCCGTTTTTTTATTATCTACGGGCGTACCTATTATATTTACTACGTGTTGTTATTATGATAACGCGTGGCATCGGCGGTTAAACGAAACAAAATGATATAATAATACGGATACGGAGACTCGTCTGCTACACTCACAGACTTACAAGTTATAATACATCTAGACCAGTGGTTCCCGACTTCTATTATTTTACGTCCCCTCAGTAGACTTTTAAAAATCACTCGCCCCCCTCCCTTCTCCTTTTAACAGACATGCTGGGGAAAAAAAAAGTTGATCTGCTAGGTGTCGACAAGCAAACAAATCTTATCAAAAACGACAACTGTCCCCTGATGTCGCGTCTACCTAAACACGACTTTGCTCGTGATCCTTATATCGATACCTGATTCCTCGGACATTGATACATTTTTATTTTTTCCCCGCATTGTAAAATACAAATAATTTAACAAATACAAATTGTACTCCGCGATGACTGCTCGCGGCTCCCCAGCAATGTGAACACGCTCCCTTGAGTGGCGCCCCCGCGTTGGTAAACGCTGATCTACACGGAACATTCACCCCGGGGACCGAGAGGTGTGATCGGTCCGAACGGATCAAGAGAGACAGCGAGGTAAAAAGGCTATAAGTGTGAAATAGAGCGAATTCGTACACGGAGGACGTGCAATTAAAACATTGCATTTATTATCCCGCGTGTTCGCGTCCTCAAAACCTAACTCCGCCCGTCGGAACGCGTTTCCGTGCTGAACAACGTCCCGGTGCAGACGTACAGGTTTACGGCTGTATTGGTACACAACAGCTTTACTGCCGGCATCGCAACCGTACGGCGAATCGAGGCGCGTAATTGAACGGCCGCGGCGGCCAAGACGCGCGGCGGGCGGCGGAGGTATGCGCGTCACGACGACGACGTTCGTGGCGCCGCGTGCATGATATCCGATTTCATCCGATGTCGCTGCGCGCCCATTGTTGTTGTCCATGTCGCCGTCGTCGTCGATTACATTGTGTATACGTATATACGCACCGTACAATAATAATAACAATAACAATAACAACAACAACAACAATAATAACACGCGGGACGCACGAAGGGGTACGCGCTCGTCCGCGGGGGTTTTCGCCCGGGTAATCCGTAGCGCGTGCATTGTTTCCGCCGCCGCCGCCGCCGCCATCGGCGGTCGGTCCGCGACGCGACGGATCCGCGGACGGACGGCTATAAATACGTAAACGAACGGTGGTGGGCAGTGGCGGGACGACGCGCCAAACGGCAAATACCATTGTCGTCCGTACGATATCCGAAATCCGGTGCGGAAAATAAACAAAAGTCGAGTAACCGAAATAACCGCATAACCGCGCGCGTAAAACGCTCCGACGTGACACCGCGGCGGCCGCGTCCGGTTTGATAAATAATATTTATCCCGTAAATTATTATTATTGTTGTTTTGCGCGAAACGCCGGTTTAACGTTGTTGTTAATGATTCGACGTCGAACCGGAACGATGACGTTCGTTATATTATTCCGTTTTCACGAGTCCGTAATATTATTGTATTACACGGTGTGCACGGTCGGCGATAATGACCGCGGTTCGCCGATTTGTTATGCGGGGGGGAGGGGGAAACGCACACACACGAAAACTATATACCCGCCTGCCCGGCCATACCTGTAGACAGTTTTGACTTCTAAACGAACAATCGGGACCGGAGATGTTTAACACTGTCGGGGTGCCTGTGCCCGCGCTATTTTAATATTCGCGCCGGCGTTTCGACGCGTTGTCGTTATTAAATATTTAAACAAATATATTTCGAATTAGTTGTGTAACGTTCAGAATACGTTGAAAGTGTGCTATTCGAATGCGAGTATTCGGCAAGTATTCCAATGGTTTCGGTGTAAACGCTTGTCTTGATTCAAGGATCGGAAATTACGTGTTATTATTTAATATTTAAACTTAAAAGTAAGAAGAAAAAAATATATATATTTTAATTTATATCTGTGATTTAGATCTTAACATTTGCGGTTTAATTCATGTAAAATATTAAATTATTTCAGAATTAATATCCAGCGCAATTTATTCATTTTCGTTTTTCAGTAATAAAATGAAGTAGGTTGTACGGCGGAAATACGATTGAGAACGGTCATTATTGTCGATACCTTTATTAGACCCTTTTGACTTTTACGATTGAGAACGCTCTGTTTTTTATAATTCCACGCAACGTTGCCTAATATGTAGTAATCTGAAAATTCAACCNGTCGCAATCGAGTTTAATGATTACCTATTATCGTATGAGATGGCATATTACTGAATCCATTAATAATGATAATCTACATAACTACAACGATAGCAAATTGTTTGCAACGAATATTCAAAATATACGCACTAATACATTACTCAGTGCGCGGTTTACCGTATTATGCGTTTTGTGTGCGAAATATTTTACGTTAATACTTAAATAAAATGGAAAATGACCGAGGCTTATATCCTCTGAACGTGGTGGGAAATTAAATTGTTTTAAACTCCCACAAATACCGTTTTATTATAAATTTTGCATACGTTTTTCATTATATATTTATGAATTTTGACTTGAATATAGTTCGATAATGTTCCACATAATTTCGTTCTCAATAGTTCCGGTTTTTTTGGGTCGGTTGCTATTTCATTGTTCCGTTTCGAACATTCTCAATCGCACGCTTAAAAAAAAGGCGAACGTTCTCAATCGTATTGTAACCGGTTGTACAGAGTTCTAATAATAGGTAACCTATACACTGAAATAGTTGAATTTTGAATTTTATACTAGAAATTTCAAAATCGATTTTGCAAACCCGCTAGATTTAATTACTAAGTCAAATTTAAAAAAAAAAAAAAAAGTATTTGAGAAGTACTTAAATACATGCCGAATAATTGTATTAGTTCCTAAATACATAAAAGCATTTCGAATGTGTATTCGAAATGCTTTCTGGGAACGGGACACAGTATATTATACGCGGTTCGAGAAGTATATTTTCAACGAGACGGATATTAGATTATTATTGCTGCGGTTGTTTCAGACTCGATAATTCCGCGCGAATGCGCCAATTACAATATTCTCGCACGGTCCTACGGTTCCCGCGCACAAAGGGGAAAAACAAACAGAAAAAAAAAAAAAAAAATTGTTTGTTAAATCCCGCACTCTGTATGTATCGGTAATAGGCGCGCGTGTAACGCGAATCGATAATACATTGTGCGCTCGTATTATACGGCGCGGGTGTCGAAAACACGTGACGAGCCCGTTCGGCTCGCCCTCGCCGTAAACTAAAGCGGCGGAATATTTATTCGCGCACGGCGCCGTGTATTGCGTGTGTTATACAAGGGGATGTATACAGGGGGACGTCGTTTGCCGTGGCTCTCAAACGATATCCCCGGCGATACGCTCGCGCGCGTTTCCACACGCCGGTACGCATCGTTTTCGTCGTCGTACACGGGCGCGTAAAACGCGTTCCCGGGAAATTTCCTCCCCCCCCCCCCGTGGGCCCTCATAACACGTAAGCCCTTAATTTCGACACGTTTTCCTACGTTTTTTTTTTTTATCCGTTTCCTCAAATTGCCCAGTGTGTGACCGGTGTGATTTCTCAGTTGGGTAGGCGAGTAGGCTGGCCAGGCTGGTACTTGAAGGATGATTTTCGAAAGGTAGCGTTGAAGAACAAAAGTCATCGTGATTTATGTTAATTTAAATGGGAGTTAGCGGATCCTATTTAATAATTTCCCGGTACGAAAATAGAACCCAACACGCGCCTGACGATATAATTATTATACATAACTGGGACTTGGGGTCGAAAAAGGCCAATGTCACATTTTGATGAAACTTAGTTATAATATAATTATAATCATAATCCTAAGCCTCACGTATATATATAAGTATAAGGAACGCTCTGCGGTCTATACGCCACCACACATCAACGATGTTACTGCGTATCTTATCTAATATAACAAAACGCATACCTATGCAGTAATATTATATGTATAGTGTACATTGTATCTCCGGTCTGAACGACGAAGGCTAAAGAGTTCGAGTTAGTTTTTATACACGCAATTATTGTTTTCACTTCGGTCTACACGACACGGGTGCGGAATTATACACGTTCAATCGCGTATCGTACCGAAATTAAATTAATATTTCAAATCACTACGACGCGCGCAACACCGCCGCGATGGCTGTACGAATAAATTTAATTTTCGCTTTTTTCAAAACGTACAATGGACACAGTTCAAACCCGTAAACACATTATACCGCGATATTCGGAACACCCCGTATGTATAGGTGCATTGAGTTTATATTGAATTTATATACGCACATTATACAAATTATATCGACGCGTACATTGTATAGTATTATATGTTGCAGTTAGAATACGGTTACCTGTTATAATTCGTATTGACATGGCGTTTTCACGTTATTATAATAACGTAAAGGTTACCGCGGAATCATATACAGATGAGTGTATCATATAGTTTCGCGTATTCGACGAAACAAAAAAAAAAAAAAACTTTTCGAGTGTCTGTTTTCGGGAAAATTTGATACCTAATAAATAACGTACACTATCGCTATCAATATATTATGTATTTGTATACAGTCTAACAGTCACACGGTCTTTTAAAACATAACACCTATTATATTAGTGTGTTATCGCGATATGACGCATTTACTGTTATATTGTAATACACCCATAATCTTGCAATAATTAATCAAACTTATAACGAGTAGTAAAATACTTGGTGAGATTATTAACGCGTACGGCAAGAAACCGAGAAAACGTTACTCATCGCATCCGACAATCGGTATATTATTAAAAGTACGCCTACCTAAATGTTATATTAATTATTGTACACAGCGATTCATAACGAACAATTTTTTTTTTTTTTTTTTAAATTAACCTAATAATTATTATTTTTCAATAATTATTAATCTGTATAGGCGTACATCCAATTAGACCCAACGTACAGTGTTATAATATTACTGTTATAAAACTATTATCGCGGCTCAGATTAAATAAGCCATTATCTAAACACAACGATTGTATTATTATTAATACACGTATATGTAATTAACACGATGATAATTTATCTCACCGGAATGTCCGTAGCCGATTCTATTCCGCGCGATCGCACCGACATTATGAAAGCTGATATTTTTATTTTATTCCGCTTTTGAGTAATAGGATTTCTTTTCGGATTTTTAATCGTATAAAAACGCCAGACACTTCGAACCGCTATAAATTACACGAAATTATAACAATACAGTAATATAGCGATGGCAAGTGTGTATACCTATTACGGGCGGACGTTCGAATCAGATTACCATTATAAATCGATTCGGCTACGGTGCTAATGTTTATTTTGACGCGATTATTTTATTACGAAATACCTTTGGACTTTTGGACTATATCGAATTCGTCAATATATAACGACGAATTTAATAGGCATAATATAACCTGCATAATATTGTGTGGGTATTGTACGATTTACCGAAACGTCGATAATTATTGCGGTTTTTGTTCGGAACACCTCGAAATAACGCGTCGTATAATATTATAATTACAGCCGTTTGCAATCTATTGTTGGCCCCGGAAGATTAATGAAATATAAGTGTATAGGTCACACGCGACGTTAAAATATCCACTTCATTACGTCGAAAATCGCCGAAATAAAATTGCTGTTAGAAAACAATACATTATTGTGAACGTGATTCGATAATAATTTCGGGGCGAAATCGCTGTAAGAATTGTATTAACGTTATTGCCGCACGCCTGTATATAACAAGACTAAGTCTTAAATCAAGTCGGTCTCTTTAATTTTTTTTAAATTCGTTTTTTCGTCGGTTTATTTTATTTTCACACGGCGGGAGAGGAGAAAATACAGGTAGTTTTTTTTAATCTGCCCCAATATTGTACGTTTTCTACACGAGTTATCCACTGTTCATAATATCTATATATGTATGCTACTCGTTTAGAATTTGGAATATCAATAAAATCTTTTTCCGAATAAAATCGGCGAAACGAGTATTGTAAAAAAAAAAATCATAAAATAGGTATGAAAAAACGAACTTGAAAAAAATTTCAAAAAGTACCCCCCATTATATACCTTATGATCGCACTTTGCGTAGAAAATGAAAAAATAACGACGACAATACGCGTTATTATAAAATCTGACGCTTACCTGTTGTCCGGCGGTTGGATACGCGTAACCGAACTGGGAATACGCCGACATGGTAACCATTTGTGTTGAGTGGTTTTTGTACCGGTTTTTCGCCAAAAATTATTAATGATAAATGTTGCGACGATCCCGTGTAAAACTTCGCGATTTGCGGCGGCGTCGCGTACGGTAATTAAAGGTGCGACGAGGCGACGGGAGAAAAAAAAAAAATTTGAAAACCGGAAAAGTAGTCGTTAATTATACGAGTGTAAACACTGTGTCCGTACTATCTGATTTCCATGATGATCGCGAGACGGACGGAATAGTGAAAAAAAAAAAAACATACGAAACGAGATCGAGAGTGGTTGTGATATTGTCGCGACGACTACCCTCCGGGCGACCGAGACCAGGGATAACGAGTGACGGCGCGGGGCGCGCGTAGGATACCCGACGACGGTACGCGGCGTTGTGCGAATGCGAGTGCGAGTGTGTGACGGCGTCGGGCGCACGCTCGGGATGGCACACGCACGGTACGGTCTCTGGACGACGACTGAACGACGACGATGACGCGGCGGCGGCGGCGGCAGCGGCCGTTTTTACCGCGCGGCGGCGGTCCCCACTCGGCGAGCCGAGCCGCCGTGCGGCCGCCTACCGGGGCCCGCGTGGACGTGGCCCGCGCCGGCCAATGGCTGAACCGAGACCGCCCCCGCCCCGACACGGCACCCCATCCGCCTGTCACGCCGTCGCCGCAATGTTTGCGGTGTAGTTTTATTATTATACCTCCGTGTGTACGTACTACGCGAACGCGTGCGTGTGCGGTGGTTTCCCCCCCCCTCCCACTACTTTTCCGATTTTGTACAACGCTGTTATTATTATTTGCCCCCCACCTCCTTCTCCGGTCATCGAAACGCACGCGAACCTCACCGCGGCGGATTATAATACAACGTGCAGTATTATATACCCGTATTTACCTGTACGGGCACTATACGTACGATTGTCGCCGATAAATAAATTTGACAAATGTACACATGAGTACACGAGGTATAATGCGTAATGTACGCGGATACGCCGGGAGAAAATTGTCTGAAATTTTCTCCCTCGCCGCCGCCCACCCCCCCTCTCCCAATCACGCGAGCGTTTGTTTTACGGCGCGTAGTCTCGTCGCGGGGTACACGCGAGACTCGCCCCGGCGGCGGCGTTTATGTTGTTTATTTATTCGTTATTATTAAGGATTATTACTTGCATCGGTACTTGTATTAATGTCCCGCGATATAAACACACCGCGCAGACAATAAAATAATACCTATCTAATATTCACTGCGGACATCTTATGCCGACGAAAATGTACGTCAACAAACGAAAAAGTAAATAAATAATTATTATACGGCGGCGCAATGACACAAAGTAACGAGTGTAACGAGAGCACGGCCGCGGACCATCGCGGCCGGCGGACCGTAAACGGTCGCTCGAGAAATGCGTTTGGTGCGACAACGCACCGAAGTGCGACGTTACGGGCCCGAGGAATAAAATAATATGGGAACTTTGCGCGTTTCTATTCATTTCCCAACAGGCCGGTAAACCACGCGCAATAATTATAGGTAAAACAATAACATATTATGTTTGGCTTGAAGAGTATTTCGAAAAAAAAAGTCCTCCCCCCCGCCACCGGTTCCCGTTCTTTTTAATTGTTTAACGATCGAAAGCAACGAAACCGTATTGATTGTCGAAAACGATTTACAAACGGTTCCCTCCCCCCCGTATACGATATACCGGCGGCGGCCAAGTTGGCCGAGGGGGGGGACATTATTACAGCGTATAAAAATAACGTATGTACAGCGTAGATATATAGCAGCCCCGGACCGAATACTATTGCAGTAGCGTACAGTTACCATTGTAACTATTGTTTGTATTTCGGCATAGACGCCGCCGCTGTATCGCGTTAAATAAATTGAAACGAAAATCGTTTAAAACAACGTATCTATATATACGCAATCGACCGATTTTAAAATTAAACGTTATAGATGATTCAAATGATGATGCATTTACGGGTAAAATAATTTTGTAACGCAATAACTATCCGTCCGAGCATTACTAACCTAATGCTAGGAGGCGGCCAATCGACTCGGAGGAATTTCCAAGCCGAAAAAATTAGACGTAAACGCCCTATATTATTGTACATCTCCAGACCGTATTGTAATACGGGCGGCCCACGACCACTCTAGGTGCATGTTCGTGTAAGTATTATAAATTATCGGGACCGGACGACTCGGCGAATACGCATAAATTAAACGTTTTCCGAAAACGACGAAAAAAAAAAAAACAAAGCATTCAAGTACGATATACTCAGTAGCGTGATTTCATTTTTTTTTTTTTAATACGTGTGTGATTATGCAGACCACACATCAGCCTGTCTTAAATTTTCGATACCACAAAAATAAAATAATCCACAAATTGTCCAAATAATCCTATTAAACCGCGCGTGCATAATAAAACATTAACTTTAACAATTATAAGTTTCATTTACGAATCATTACGATTATACGAACTCGATATTTAACCATGAAGAATTGTTATTGGAATGTAATCCGAATGATAAAACAGAGTATTAATTTGAAAATAAAATACGAAGACCAGTAATACACAATAAGCCATCACTGTCCGTTTTTCAGACCAAACACCGGGCAAAATTACGTTAATATAATTGGATTTTAAATACGCAAATTAATATCTCACGTGGTCCAAATGACGCCACTGGATACACCTTAAAACTATTGTTATATTATATTGTATATTTATTTATAGACATTGGCGGCCCGAGGATGTAGTACGCAAGGAGCAGACGTATTACTACCCACCCACCCACCATGATCCACTAATTTAATATAAGCTTATACCTTTTGTACCTTAATATATTCATGTAATTTCTTTGATAATGTCTTAAAACTGTAAAATATTAAAAACACAGGACATCAGGACCACAACAAAGAAGAAATAGAAAACGCCAATGAATAGTAAAAATCTGAAAATAAGACTCATTTTGTTTCAACTAGGTATTAAGTATAAATTGTAAATTATTGAATTACCCATTTACCCATCCACTCTAACAACGGCTTGGAGCGATTGTTTCTCGTAATATACATCTGAACCGCCTCTGTATTATAGGGACTTAACTCCAGGCTAACTTTTATCTTCATATTATATACCTAGGTATTTTTTATTTTAAATTTTGTATTTCATATAATAATCGGAACGTACTAATTGAGTCCCATGCCTGATCGAGAAAAAAATAACATACTAACCGAGTCCGGCCGGGTACAAACGAAAAATATATTGAGTAAAACATAAAAGCAACTATATAATTTATGTGACTATGGGTACGTAAAATCGTTCATATCATTTTGTTGATTTTCGTTAGATAAAATAATAATATAATATCATATTGCATGTATATACATATATATATGTACATATATATATATATATGGACATGGAATTTATCATCGATACGAATAATTATCGATACTATAACAAAACCATAGAATACACTCTAAAGCCACTTTAGTCGACGAGGTACACCGAGCACCATGAATACGAACGACGATGTAGTAAATTAAATTATATTAAGTGAAAGAAACAAAAGTGTTTTTGTTATCAATGGATTTAAATTTCGTTATCATACACAGTTATCGAATAATCATAAATAACACGATTTGAATATGTCCAAAGCTCACCGCGTACATTTTTACCAATATAACAATTTCGCCAATTATACAGTGTTTATATTCACCCGCATTAATTCATTATCATATTTGATATTATACAACTTAATTATATATCATATATTATACAGTATACACATTAACTATTTTATTATACTCATTAATCAAATGTTTCAAAATTAACATTATAAAAATATATGCATTTTGAACCATGTATACCTACAGGACAATTTTTTGTTACAGACAATCCTAAGTCTGTAGTAAAAATGGGAAGGAAAATATTATATTTTTTTAAATTTAACGGGACTCGGTTTTTAAACATTAGATTTAAAAAAAAAATAAAAATATTTTTAACTCCCAATTTTCATATAATTTCGTTATTATATACTGTATATGAGTTATGAGCAACCCAAAGTTACAAGAGGGCTAAAAAGTACTTTAAAATCTACGATCGCTCCTCAGCCTATGATATTATATATCACTCTTGCATTGGCTTGCCATTTTACCTCCGCTGTTTAACTAAATACGCTCGTATAGCCAATACGAAGAATACCTATACATATACACCTAAGATATATGTAATGTATATTATCTTTTATTACCTATTGTAAACAGTATCAAAGGTTTATAATATTGTAATATAAAATTGCAATTTTTAAGCATAAAAGATTTTGAATATTATCGCATTGGTTCGCCGTAATAATTGTCGCGCAGTTCAGGGGCGTATTCAATATGTATAGCAGGGAGCTGAAGGGCCTACCGGGCTGTGGCCCCATGATATCTCTGGAGAATATAGCAATATAGATTTTAAATAAAATTATGGCGGGTTCTATAGCAGGGCCTTGGAACGGTATATATATATATAAAAAAAATTTGCATATAATATAAAATTGTACGGTCACTTTCTAGTCTATGTAGCAAACTATGTAACGACGGGGTACTTTTAATAATCTATTATCAAACTATAAATAATTATAATACGTTTAGTTGCAGAGGTGTATTTTTCACTAATTATTCTGCTATATTATAATATAATATACATATTATTTTAGTTAACCGTGAACAATAATTAACACAAACCTATTAAATATTCAAAATAACGACTACGCGGTAAATTATATGGGTATATATACCTGTAATATCGTCTTAAATTGAATATTCGTAAACGGACCTAATTTAAAAAAAAAAAAAAATTATAAAAATCTAAATATTTTTCTCGATGGGATATTGTATATTATATTGTACCTAATATTAAGGAATATCGCAATAATTAAATTGCTTTAAAATTAATACATAGGTATACATAATATTATGTACGAGTGACGTATTCCAGTGCCTGAATCAGTATGATGAAATAGAATTACGCAGAATTTTATTTTCATGGGTAGGGGGGAGTTGTGCTTATAATAATTTCCTAGAAAAGGGATAGCACACAGTATCATCAGTACAGTACTTTATCACTATATACTATGATGTGGTTGAATGTAAAACTTGATTTAAAAAGATATAATGAAGGAAAACATTTCGGGGGAGAGTTTGACCTCCTAGCCTCCTCATATGTGTGCACCATTGGGTTTAATTGGGGGGTCGAGGGGGACAGGGCACCACTTATTTTATTAAAATATTTCAGCGTACCGCTTCTATAATTTTTTTAATTGTCTTAATTGGGTTGAATTCGATTATTATACAAGGGACGCTTTATTTTTTTTTTCAAGCCTCATAGTACATCTTTTATTTTTTCTGATTCAAGCACCGTATAATTATAATGTTATAATAGTTCGAGGTTTCATAACGATTTTATAACGTATAGGTAACAATAACA